CATGCACCATATATTATGGTTGATAGGTTCATCTTTATGGATAATATTCTAATTGAGTTCCTGTGAGATTCTAATAATTTAATTGGCATTCATCCTTGGTGTATTGTGTATCAAATTCAAGGCCATTAATTATGAAAAGTATTACTTAATTTGACCTTGTAGTTTCTTAAATATGTTATCGCGTGCAATGTAATGTATCCATAATGTTTGGATACATGGTGTTAAATTAAATAAATCTTAATGAAATGAAATCAACTAACAAAGAATAAATGTAAAGATAATTTACCAGCGTGGCATTGCACGTGCAATTCAACATAGCTTATGAGTGAACAAGAAAAGGAAAAAAAAGTCTTGTATGTTATCACCTAATGATTATAAGGATAAGAAAACCTATCAATATTTTAAGAAAAATCCTCCACAAACTTTGCAAATTAATAAACAACAGCTCAAATATTTACTTAGGTGCTCACTTCTTTTACTTAAAATTTAATTTTATCAATATCATTGCAATAGTATGCATATCCTGAATTCTTAAGAGTTTCTATATATTAGCGTCCTCCGATCAAGAGTAAAAAGCAATTAGGCGGGAATTAATCGCCTACAATTGCCTAATCATTACCATGTTTTGAAAGGAATTGACTTCAAAAATAACCTAAGAATTGAGTTACGCTAATAATAATTAAATGGTCTCACAGACAAAATTCAAAACATGAAAGATTTAAGGGACTAATACAAAAGATATTTTTTAACCAATCAATTGTTGTGTAACAAAAAAATTTATTTTCATAATTTGATATCAAATAATTGCGTTAATATTTGTACATGCAATGTTATTATGTTTTATAATGCTTAATGTCCTCTAACCTTTTTGTCTACTCTCTTACTTGTCAACAAATTTTTAATTATTTTAATTTTTTATTAATTAGTTTTTTAAATGGGGAGAGAGCTTTAGTTCAAAAGTTTAATATTGACTTCATGCTTGAGTGATTAACCAATTATAATTAGGCATAATAATGTTACACATTAAAAGAGATTAGGGATAAACTAGCTAGAAAAATTCTTCAGAGCTCACACCTTTAAAGGGAGTATGATCTCAAAATTTTAATATTTTGAAATTAGTTCCTCACATTATTGAAGTTACTAGTTTTTTCTAATTCTCGACAAGTTGTGTTTTCAAAATTGTCCCTCAAATGATTTAAATTGTTATAGATCCTTATTTATGGTTTCAAATTAACGTACAATTAATAATAATGAGTAGGGGTGAGCAAATAGGTCGGTCGGCTGGATTCTTTTTCTTCTTTTCGATGGTATGCCAAGTTAGAGATTTGTTTAGCTAAAGACAATACTCTTGCCTCCTTTAAACCTCTCACTCATCTTACAATCCAAGTGAACATTTAGTTGCACTTTACTAAAACTAAATCTGAAATCAATTAAAAATTTATTAAAATATTTAGTATAAATTATCTTGTTTTAAAGCTTAAAAGTAAAATATTTTTGACAAACACTGGAGATCCGGTCAGTTCAGTTTTCTAAAATCGACCGAATCAAATTAAGGGCGCTCTGGCCAACCGTGGCGTTGTTGTCGTTTCTGTTTTTTTTTTCCATTCTACAAAAACAGAAGAAACCGCGTTTGGCAACCAGAGCGTTTTTTGACTTGGTCCCTTTACAGAAATCTAAAATTAAATCATTTTTTCAAAACACCAAAAAAGGTGTTTTTGAGATTTTTTTATTCATCAAAGCCGTCGCCGCCCATGCTCCCAGTCGCCGCCGCCCGCCGCCACCCGCCCGCCCCGCCCGGCCGGACGCACCCGCCGGTCACTGCCCCGAACAATCGTGCGACGGCCGGTCAGCCGCGCTGCCCATCGGCCAGCGCCGGCCACCGTGCCGCCACCGCGCAGTCGGCCAACTACAGCCACCGCCAGCCGCTCCCGGCCCGCGAGCGCAACAGCGGCCGCCCGCCACCCTTAGGCCGCTGCCACACGCCACCGGTCGCACCTGGCGTCCACGCCACCGCATAACGTTGGCGGACCACCGGAGCGACCCGCCGTCGCACCGTGTCGTTGTCCGCCCGGCCCACGCTGCCCACCCGACCGCGCGCACCGCCACCCCGTCGCTACCCACCGCCAGCGGCCGCCGCCGCGGCCGCCACCTACTGTCGCCACCCGCCTCGTCGGCCGCCACTAGCCACTCTCCACCTGTCACCGCCACCACCGCCACCGTCGCCCGCCCATCTGGCGCCGTATGCCGGGGGCCACCCGCGCCGCCCATCGAGCCGCCACCCGCCTCGGCCGTCGCTGCTTGCCGTGTCTTAATCGTCGCCGCCCGCTAGCCAATCGCACCGTGTCCGCCGAACTGAACCGCCAACTTCAGCGCGTACCCCTGTTAGCCGACGGTCATCTGTCGCCAGTCGAGGAACACGGCCGCAGTCCGGTCGGGCCGTCGACCACTCTACGCCGGTTCACCAGCGCGCCACTCCGTGATATAAATGTCAAACTAGTTTGACCAAAATGGTGTTTGTCTAAACACATTTGAAAAAGAAACAATGGTGTTTTTTATAAAAAAAACACATTGATTACCAGAAAATGGAAGTGAACCCGTAGAAACCAAGGTAGTAAAATGGAACTGAACCGTAGAAATTCGGTCCATTTGAGGGCACAATTGGAAATATTAAATAGTTAAGGAACAGTACCTAAAAAACCCGTTATTATTATCATATTTCACAGACATTTCATTTCCGCCATGGCGATTGGCCTCTGCCTCGCATCTTAAGCCCTCGTCCCCAAAATTTCCGCCCATTCTCCAAAAGCAATCTAAAGCGAAACAAAATACCCAAAACCCATTGATCCATCGAGCGCATTTGATCAACTGGCATATAGGGTTTCAAATTGGAGAAAATGGAGATCCAAGGGCTGCTCCTCAGCTGAATATCGATCATGATCCCCGTCCACATTCAGCGATCTCAGAGGCCCAACCGTCGCATCGAACTTATTTCGTTGGCTCCACAAAGCGCTTCTTTCTTGTTAGCGCTAATCTTTGCAAGGGAATCCCTACATCAGGTACTTGTCTTTCCTACATTTTTAAGGGAAGGATGGAAATTTGCAATTTTTATGGATAGGTTTTAATTTAAATGATCTTGGGAGTTTAAGGCTGAAGTGAGCCCTTGGGTTTTCTTTGGGTGGTCGAAATGGGTTTCTGTCTTGTGAGTGTAAAATTTCAAGTTTTTGCCCAACTCTGGACATTTTCAGGTTTGCCAGCAGCTTCTCTGGAAAATGTTTAGCTTTACTGCGCATGTAAGAATCGTCCATTTTGTTAAGTTTCAACTTTTGCTTCTAATTCTGAAGCAGCCACATTCTGGAGGCATCTGGTTTTGTGTGCCTAGTTTATATGTTTGTATGTGGCAATCCCTGACCATAACGCATTATACTTGGTACGCGTTGTGATTTCATTGCGTGAAGAGAATTTTGTAATTTGGATGATTACTACAGGGACCCATTTATACTGGTGGATGATGTTCTACTTGATGTGAGCACGAAATTTTAACCGAGATTTGTGATGTGACTAACGGCGTTAGTTGACGCAAATGCCTACAACGCAATGAAAGCAATAACGTTGATATGTGTTGCGCGTTGGGTGGTGTTTTTTTGGTGGCCGGGTCGGTGTGGTGTGGTGGGGGGTGGCATTTGTATGAAGTGTATAGGTGGTATTGGAACTCACTATGTTTCAGGAAGTTAAAAGGTTTGTCAACAACTATTTTGAGTTTTGGGGCCGGTTCTTTCCTTGTGTGTGTGTGGGTGATCACATAGAAAGAAGCTTTACTAAGATCGTTGAAATATTTAAAGCATGACTTTGACACTGTCATGCAATAGTGTAAAAAAGGCCCATAAGGTTTACTAGACAATACAGATCAACAGTTGCTGAAGTTTTAAATGGCTCAAAGAAATATGATAAAGCTTCATGAGATGTCCTACCAACCCTGCAAAGTTTTGTCAGACTACAATTAGTTGGATTACACTTGAAAAGGGTAATCTATAGGAAGATGCAGCCCTCTACCTAATAATAAAAGAAAATCAATTTATCATCATTTATAATTGCAGATAGAGACCCTGTACTATTGCAGAATTGAACTTACTACCCTGTAGTTCTATTTTTGCAGAAACAAGTGCCACTTACTACCCTGTAGTTCTATTTTTGCAGAAACAAGTGCCTGAGCAATTGTGCACATCATGTTTGTTAGTCGTAGTATAGACTTGCGTTTTCACATGGTCACTGTGGTCATGTATTCCCTTTTTGCGGTTATTTTGGATTTTTTGTTGTCGCTCAAGGTATATTACTTCTATATAAGGTTTCAATATGCAAAAAATTGTTATCTAGAAATGAAATGTCTTCGAGATGACTGCTTACTATGAATTTTAGGCATTAGGTAAAAATCATGACTTTCCATGGTCATAGATGTTTATGTCCAGTTTAAACTGTGATCCATTCAAAGCTAACATTAAGTTCAGCTCCTTGCAAATTCATATCATCTTGTATTTACTGGGGATACTTTTTCTCCTTTTTATCCTTGATACTGTATTCTGATTATTTTTGGTCTCAGAACATTAAAGTTTACAGGCAAAATAGAAAGACGTCACAGTTGAGTAATCCATATGTTCTTTTAGATTTGTTTTCACTTATCAAAATTGGCGCCGTTAGATTGCCATGAAAAGCAAAAGTGTCATATTTAAGTAATCCTGCTTTCTTTTAAACTTTATTTTACTCATTAGAGTTTAACATTGAATCTTTGGTATCCATGTTTGCTTTATATCAACAGCTGTGGGTATATGTTATCTGGAAATGCAGCAGTTTCATGTTAATATTATACCTTGTTCTTATCTTGAATATTGTGTCATATTAGAATTGTTCTTATGATTTTATCTATCATGTATTCTGCTTGATATAGCTGGGATTTTTTTTTAATGCGGTGACAGTGCAATGTTTTAAGTTTGTTCATGATTTCTAGGCATATTGACTATTGCATGCATCGGGTAAACTTGTTGAGACACCATGGCATAAAACCTGTTCTTGTATTTGATGGGGGGCTTTTACCAACGAAGATTGACCAAGAGACCAAGCGCTCCAGGTATTTATTTGCAAAAACTTGATGTTGGCTTCATACAAGACACTATTGATGCAATTACTTGATAAGTTTCTTTCTCCACGTTGTGCATTAAACATATAATTGGCAGGTTTCATAAACTCTTTACTGTTTTCATATCAAACACTTGTTAGTCCACCAGGTGCATGCAAATTTTTTCTAGATCTTTTTTTCCCACACAGCATTTCGCATTTTGTCCTTCTTAACCCTTCTAATGAATTGTAACCATCTCTTGGATGTCATCTATTTAATGATTGTAGACAAGATTTGGATAAGGGTATTCTAAAGGGACCAGAATGTTCAAGTTCAGCAGTTTTATTATCATAATTTAAGCATAGAAGAGTTCTGGATAGAAGAGTTGTTTTTTCATAGTTGCTGAATAGAAGAATACTGAAGGTCCTTGCCATAGCATAAGGAAGATGTTAACTTTATGTTGTTTCCTCATGGTAATTATTTTATTACTATTTCTTTTACCGAAAGCTTATTCTTTGACTAATTTCCTTATCCAGAGGTAATTGCTTTGAGGACATATAGGACCGTCAGTAGATGGAGGTTCATTGCTCTTGTCGCAAGATTTTCCAACCACCATAACACACAAAGTCTACATAAGTTCTTTAACTAGTCTGTGTCGTAGACTGTATGTATATGGATTAGCTAACAACATGTAAGTATTGGAATAGTGTGTGTTATGCAAGAACATTACACATAATTCTTTTGAACTAACCTTCAGACTGTAAAACTCTTGTGAGGTAACGCAACATTGCAAAAGTAGACGGACTAGCTTAGAATATTACAGTTATCTAATGCATCAAAACTGACTTCCCTTACAAAGCAAAGCCAGTCAGTTTCCCTTTGTCCATTCACTATGCCAAGTCTATAAATTTCTAATATTGGCACAGACACAGTAATATAGTTTTGTTTCTTCCTTTTGGCTTGTCCACATAGCAAGTTACATTTCGATAGTTCATGAAAATGGCTATTTATGAGGGGGAGAATTGTATAAAGAATCTTGCTAGAGAATTGTATGAAGAATCTTACTTACTTCTCTGGATACTACTTAAATGTATCTAGAGCCGATTTATCTTTCACTGAAGTGAGTTTTTCTCCACTATGACTCAGAGCATGGCAGGTTATTCTCCATTTGCCAAATTGACATCATTCGAGGTTGCCGTGTGCATGTAAACTAGCATTTTTTTTCCTTGTATCTCTTTCTGGCACGGAATGAAACTTTCCACTTCTCTCTCAAAGCCTCACTCCATCAAATTCACTTCTTTCTAATATTTTATTCTTCTACTACTATGCTTTTTTAAATTTACTAGTTGTTGTCTACTCTTATCCAGGTTTTCTGTAGATCTTTTTTTCTCAACTGTACCGCTAAAGTTTGCTTGAATTTGTTAGTCTACATTAACTTACATTCTATTTCAGGGCAAGAAAGGAAAATCTCGAGCGTGCAGTGGAACATGAGGCAGCTGGCAATTCTGCTGCTGCTTTTGTGTGCTACCAAAAAGCTGTTGACATATCACCTTCAATTGCCTTAGGGCTAATAAAGGTAGGTAAACTTGTCTTCTGATTGTTGATTATAAACTGCTCCAGAAGGGTCTATCTCTCTGTAGAAAATTGTTTCACGGATCTTTAATTCAATGTTTATCCATTTTGCAATTGACAAAGTGTCACCTCATTCAACACTGTAGTAGTTACAAATGATTTTTGCAGGTGTTGAAGCAGGAGAAAGTTGATTATATTGTTGCGCCCTATGAGGCTGATGCACAAATGACATTTTTGTGCATGAACAAGCTTGTTGACGCTGTCATTACTGAGGACTCAGACTTGATACCTTTTGGCTGTTCCAGGGTAGGTTATCTCTTCATTGTATATCTCACAAGGAGGCGAATGTCTGATGCTTTTTATTTCTTTACTTGTTTTATAATTTTGTATAGGTAATAGACTAATACGATTGATACTAGATCTTTTTCTTCTCTTTTCCATTTCCTTGTTTGGGGTATATTCTCAACCAAGATCCCAACTGTTTTTTATTTCAGATTATTTTCAAAATGGACAAGTTTGGACAGGGTGTTCAGTACCAAAGTTCAATGTTAGGACGGAATAAAGAACTTGATTTTACTGGTTTCACGAAACAAATGTTACTAGAGATGTGCATTTTGAGTGGTTGTGACTACCTGCAGTCATTACCAGGAATGGGCTTGAAACGAGCTTATTCACTTGTTCAAAAGTTTAAAAGCTATGAAAAGGTAATTGATACTTCACGCATATGCGCATATTTTGCCATTTATCCTATATCATGAGTATTTTTATATGATTAGGTAATTGGTAGTTTTCGCACTACTTTTTTATGTACTCTTATACTCAAGTGAATAACAAAAGGTGATAGATCCCTCTACTTTTTCTTGAAATTGGTGATGAGCTAAGAGTGGTCACCTTGCCATACCAAAAAATGTAGTATAGCTTGCACTATTCATCTTCTAAATATTCTGTGTTCTTACCCACTGCTCGTTCATAGTCAGCTACGTACGACAGTCTTAAACAAAGGTTGGAGAAGAAATCTCAACTAAACAGAAATTTGGGCCAATTATCCAAATTCCATTGATAAAACCAAGTACATTGAAGTGTTCTGTATAGGCATGAGATCACGCTATTTTATTTCTAATCAAATACTAAAATAATAAAACTTATGGACTATATATTCCCATACTGTTGCCGATCAAATATAAAAGTAAAAGGAACATAAAGATTTTACTTCTCAAACAGGTAATTAGAGGAACATAAATTAGAGGTTGTTTCTAAAACATCTCAAATGAAGTAAATTAAAAATTAAAAATTCCTTTCCATCAATTATTCCATCAATTCTTCTATTATATTTCTTGGAAAGCCAATCTCAATCATTTTGTATTAGAAGGAATGATTTCAAGTAAGAATCAAATTCTCAGTCTATCCTGATACAGTGTTACTCTTAGCTGTGCATCTTATGTGAAGGAAAACGCACCTGATGAAGATCGACCTTGCCGGCGATGGTGGCAAGGGGTCGACGACGGATGGTGGCGAGGGGGCGTGGAGTCGAAGCTCGCCTTTCGAGGGGGGCTTCGAGCTCGCTTGTTCAAAGGGGCTTCGAGCTCGCCTGTTCGAGGGGGGGTTCGAACTCGCCTGTTGCCCATGAGCTTGCCTGTCGGAGGAGTAGCTCGCCTGGAGGAGTGCGAACGAGGATCTCGCCTGTTCTCGTAGTGGATGCCAACCGATCTCCAGCTAGAGCGCACAATCTTGCCCTAGGGTTCCCTATAAAAGGGAAACCCTGTTCACGAGATTTTGAGCTGAGACGATTTCAATAGAGGGGTTTTCTCTGTTGTGGCGGCTGTGGAACTTCTCAAGGGTTTATTGAGAAGTGAATTTTTCGGTTAAGAAAAATTCTCACAGAGAGTTCTGTAGCATTTGCTATAGTGACGAGTTGTATCTTGAGAGAGATTTCAAGTTTGAGATTTTCTCTTTTACAAGTTTTGTAATTTCTTGTGGTTAAAAGAAATTATTTGTGCGGCTCCCGTGGACGTAGGCAAGTTTGCCGAACCACGTATATTTGTTGTCTCATCTCATTTACTTACTGTTTTATTTGTGTATTCATCATTGCTTGTATTGGTTAGTTTGAGTTTGGCTTAAACTCGAGCTTGGGTTGTTTCTCTCGGAATTAATTAAGCTTCCGCGGCGGTACGAGCGCATCGCGCTCATAACAATTGGTATCAGAGCTCTTGTTAAGATTGGAGGTGGTAAAATTTTCGATTTGTGGTGGTTCTTGATTATTGTTGAAATTACTGAGAGAATTAGATTTATTAATACAAGCGAAAAATAACGTCTACAAGTAAAACAGTTAAAGTGGGAAAGTATGAGATCGAGAAATTCAATGGAAAGAATGATTTTTCCTATTGGAGGATGCAGATAAAAAATTCGCTGATTTCGTAGAAATTGCACAAGGTTTTGGTGGAAAAAGAGAAGAAACACAAGGATATGTCTGATGAGCATTGGGAAGAGCTGGATCTGGAAGCACAGGCGTCAATTATCCTTTGCCTTGAAAGAGATGTAGCTTTCTTGGTAGATGGAGAGGTAACGGCTGCGGGCGTATGGTTGAAGTTAGAAAGCACCTTCATGACGAAGAGTCTAACGAACCGAATCTATTTTAAATCCAAATTGTATACTTGCAAGATGGAGGAAGGCTCATCAATCTGGGAATACATCAACAAGTTCGATAGGATCTTATCGGATTTAAAAGATATTGAGGTGACAGTGGAAGACGAGGATCAGGCATTTCTACTACTTCTATCTATGCCGAAGTCTTATGAGAATCTGGTTCAAACACTGATGCTTGTGGGTGACCATTTGTCGATGGATGAGACTAGAACGACGCTTCTAGCGGATGATCTTTGAAAAATTATTACTAGTGATATGGCCACTGGTGGTAATAAAGAACAAGCGCAGGGTTTTTTTGCCAGAGGAAGGGGCAATGAGTGAGAAAAAGACAAGGGAGGAAAGTCTAGATTAAAATCAAGACCTCTTGCAGAAAGATCGCGTTTTAAATGCGGTGAGCTAGGGCATTTCAAAATCAATTGTCCTAACAAGAGAGTAGGTGGAAAGAAGAACAACATGACTGAAAGACGAGAAGGTAAGGAAGAGGCGAGTTACGCTTCAGGGGAAGGGAGCGATAATGAATGCTATATCATCACGGATGACGAGGATACCTCCGGAAAGTGGATACTTGATTCTGGTTGTTCTTATCACATGTGTCCAAATAGAAAGTGATTTACTACCTACAGGAGCATTGATGGTGGAACCGTATTGATAGGGAACAACCATGCTTATAAAACAGTGGGGCTTGGTGATATCAAGATCAAGATGCATGATGGAGTGGTTCGAACCTTGACGGATGTAAGGCACGTTCCCGACTTACGGAAGAATCTTATCTCAGATGATGCTTTGGACTCCGGGGGTTGTAAGATTGTAACAGAGAACGGAGTAAAGCGGGTTGTTCGGGGTTCCTTAGTAGCGATGAAGGGCATTCGTCACGATAACCTATATACTCTCTTGGGTACGACGGTGACGGGAGATGTAGCTGTTGGAACCGATGGAAGTGGTAGAGATCCATGTGAACACACAGTTATGGCATAGGCGGCTTGGGCACATGTCAAAGAAGGGTCTAGATCTGCTTGGTAAGGATGATTTGTTGAAGAATCTGAAAAAGCATTGTATGGATTTTTGTGAGGACTGTGTGTATGGAAAGGCACACAAGGTCCGGTTTCTGACAAGCAAACACAAGAGCAGAGGGATACTAGATTATGTGCACATGGATGTTTAGGGTCCGGCTTTGACAACTTTTAAGGCTGGTTCCAGATATTTTGTCTCATTCATAGATGATCATTCGAGATATGCTTGGATTTATTTTCTGAAGCATAAGAATGAGGTATTTGAGACATTCAAGAAGTGGAATGCGATGGTTGAGAACATGACATGAAAGAAATTAAAGACATTAAGATCTGACAACGGTACAGAGTATACAGATGGTGCCTTCAAGGAGTTATGTGATCAGGAGGGGATTGCCAGACACTGGACAGTTAGATCTACACCATAACAAAATAGGATTGCGGAAAGACTAAACCGAACACTGCAGGAGAAAGCAGTGAATATGCGATCATATGCTGGTTTGGGTAAGGAATGGTGGGCAGAAGCGGTTGCTATAGCTTGTTACATAGTGAATCGTTCTCCAGATTCGACATTGGATGGTGATACACCCTATCGGGTGTGGTCAGGAGAGCATGCAGATTATGAGGGGCTTTAAATTTTCGGGTGTACCGCTTATTATCACGTCAACAAGGAAAAGCTTGACGCGAGGGCCAAGAAGGCGATATTCTTGGGGTATGCAAAGGGCGTAAAAGGTTACCGTATTTGGTGTACAGAAGATTCAAAGTTCATGATCAGCAAAGACGTTACCTTTGATGAGAAGTCCATGATTGCTAAGGTGCCTAAGGATGATGGTGTTGAGACTGTTAGGAATTCTAAGTCTCAGGTTATTGACATAGAACCTAAAGACCAACCAGGTTCTAGTTGTGTTCAAGTGAGAAATCAGGTAGATGATGAGCTTGAGCAGGAGGAGGTTTAGCAAGAGAATATACAGGTACTACAACAACAGCAGCTCGAGGATAGCTTGGCTTCTACTAGGCTAAGGCGAGCATACAAGCAGGTACAGAAACTGGGGGCTGATCAATCCCTAAAGCACTATAGGCAGGTTAATTTGGTTGAGTACGCACTCTCGGTGGAGGAAGATGAGCCGATCTCCTTCAAGAAAGCTATTCGGGATAGAGATAGCGAGAGTTGGTTGGCTACGATGGAGGAGGAGATAGAATCTCTTCGGAAGAACCAAACATGAGAGGTGGTCCCACTGTCCGTAAGAAAGAAAGCTATAGGTTGTAAGTGACTGCATAAAAAAAAGGAAGATCCTTCAGAGCTCGGTGATACAAGGTACAAGGCGAGGCTAGTGGCTAAGGGGTTTGCATAAAGAGAGGGTGTGGATTACAATAAGATATTTTCTCCGGTGGTGAAACACACTTCTATTCGGGTGCTATTGAGTATTGTTGTTCATGGTGATCTTGAGCTGGAACAACTCAATGTCAAAACGGTCTTCTTATACGGAGACTTGGAGGATGAAATCTATATGTATCAGCCTGAGGGTTATAAGGTTGAGGACAAGAAGAATCATGTATGTCGCTTGAGGAAATCACTATATGGACTGAAACAATCTCCTCGGCAGTGGTACAAGCGATTTGACTCCTTCATGCTAAAGCATGGGTTCTCCAGAAGCGAGTATGACTGTTACGTCTATATTCGGAAGCTTCGTGGATGTGATTATATCTATCTCCTTTTGAATGTAGATAACATGCTTATTGCTTCTAAGAGCAAGGTGATGATAGATAAGTTAAAATCTCAACTTGATAAAGAGTTCGAGATGAAGGACATGAGTGCTGTTAAGAAAATATTGGGTATGGAGATTAGAAGAGAGCGAGCAAATCGGTGATTGTTCTTGAGTCAGAAGGGCTACATAGAACGGGTGATCGCAATGTTCGGAATGCAAAGTGCTAAGTCGGTGGTGATTCCATTGGCTCCATACTTCAGGCTCTCAGGTAAATAATCTCCCACTACAGCGGAAGATAAGACACACATGAAGCGTGTTCCTTATGCTAGTGCAGTTGGCAGTTTGATGTACGCCATGGTATGTACACGCCTAGATATTTCACAGGTGGTTAGTGCGGTCAGCAGATTCCTGACGAATCCGGGAAAAGCGCACTGGGAAGCTGTGAAATGAGTTCTGAGGTACTTGAAGGGTACTGTAGATACGGGTCTGTGTTTTGATAGAGATACATGTCAGATCAACGGGTTTGTGAACTCAGATTATGCAGGTGTCCTAGACAGACGGCGATCTACTACTGGTTATGTATTTAGTATACATGGTACTCCAGTTAGTTGGTGATCGATGTTACAGGCTATAATGGCACTTTCTACTACAGAGGCTGAGTACGTAGCCATGACAGAGGGAGTGAAGGAAGCATTGTGGTTGTGGGGTTTGCTAGACGATTTGGGGATTAAGCAGGAGTGCGTGAACTTGTGGTGCGATAGTCAGAGTACAATACATTTGGCTAAGAATCAAGTTTATCATGCTCGTACCAAGCATATCGACGTCAGGTATCATTTTGTGCGGGATGTCATAGAGGAAGGTGATATTTCTCTCATGAAGGTGCACACAAATGAGAACCCAGCAGACATGTTAACCAAGATGGTCACAGGTAGCAAGTTTTAGCATTGCTTGGATTTGCTTAATATCAGTCCGTGTTGATTTGCCCAAAAAGACAATAGCAGAATTATGGTTAGCTTGATCTCGGTGGAGGGTACGTAGCCAGCTGCGATATAGTGGCGCAGCTAGTTTGGTCTGGCTTGGCCTGGTTGGAGTTCGCGATGTTCTTCGGGTGATCGTCCAAAATTTGAGGCTTATCAAATGATGGACGAGGCGGAGAATTGAAGGAAAACGCACCTGATGAAGATCGACCTCATCGGCGATGGTGGCGAGGGGTCGACGGCGGATGGTGGCGAGGGGGCGTGGAGTCGAAGCTCGCCTACGGAGCCTGCAGGCGAGGGCGTTTGTTCGAGGGGGGCTTCGAGCTCACTTGTTCAAAGGGGCTTCGAGCTCGCCTGTTCGAGGGGATTCGAACTCGCCTATCGCCCATGAGCTCGCCTGTCGAAGGAGTAGCTCGCCTGGAGGAGTGCGAACGAGGATCTCGCCTGTTCTCGTAGTGGATGCCAACCGATCAGCCGATCTCCAGTTGGAGCGCACAATCTTGCCCTAATGTTTCCCTATAAAAGGGAAACCCTGTTCACGAGATTTTGAGCTGAGGCGATTTCAACAGAGGGGTTTTCTCTGTTGTGGCGGCTGTGGAACTTCTCAAGGGTTTATTAAGAAGTGAATTTTTCGGTTAAGAAAAATTCTCACAGAGAGTTCTGTAGCATTTGCTATAGTGACGAGTTGTATCTTGAGAGAGATTTCAAGTTTGAGATTTTCTCTTTTACAAGCTTTGTAATTTCTTGTGGTTAAAATAAAAAATTATTTGTGCGGCTCCCGTGGACGTAGGCAAGTTTGCTGAACCACGTATATCTGTTGTCTCATCTCATTTACTTACTGTTTTATTTGTGTATTCATCATTGCTTGTATTGGTTAGTTTGAGTTTGGCTTAAACTCGAGCTTGGGTTGTTTCTCTCGGAATTAATTAAGCTTCCGCGGCGGTACGAGCGCATCGCGCTCATAACATTATGATTGGTGTCTTTTAGATATGTCATGTAAGATCTTATTAATATGATTTGTTGATATTGTTAGATCACATTTTGTATTCCTTGTTAATATTAACTTGATTTGTTGAGAAGTTTCTTGTGATCTCATGTTTTATTTATGAGTACACAAGAGAGGGATCATTCAAAATATGGTCAACTTTTTACTATATTCTACTCTTTAAGTCAATTTGTATTCTGAAGCAAACTGCTCCCCAGATCCAAAGCTTCTCAACCAGATAAATCCTGCCACAGATTAGGCTCTGAGTTTGAGAGCTGTCCAAATTCGTATGAAATACATAGTTGGATTTAGCATATAAATTGTACTTGTTTAGACACAGACCTGAACAACCAAAACAAGGCTTGATGACAAGGCTCTGAGATTTTGACTAGAATATTGCCTTGTACTATCTAGTTCCTAAAACTTCAAGGAGCATCATGATTAATTTAATGAGTATGCAATTTGAATTCGAATTAATAAGACCTTGCTGATGTTCTGTTTATTTCAGGTAATCAAACACTTGCGGTACAGTGCTTTCTCTGTCCCACCTCATTATGAAGAAAATTTTAAGAAAGCGATGTGGGCGTTTCTGCATCAAAGGGTTTATGATCCTAGAGAAGAAGCAATAGTTCATTTATCTGATATTCCTCCTGACATTGGCGAGGACTTGGATTTTTTGGGCCCATATCCTTGCTCTTTAAAGTATTCCCTTAGCTGCTATATATAAATATCCACACAGGTTGCCACATGTAAATGCATATATATTTATAGTATTTCTTAACAGATCATACATGGCTACCACCAGATGTAGTTAAAGGCATAGCTGAAGGTGATCTTGATCCATTCACAAAGCTGCCGTTCCAGGTATGTTAATGGTTATCTCAAGTGTATGGCAATTAAGAAATTGAGATATACAGTAGTGCCCAACGATTATTAATATTTATATTCTTCTATTTAATCTTGTCTAAAGCTATATGTTATTAGCATGTATCATTCTTTTGGTAGACTGCTGTCTGAAAGTTATATCCACTACAGTTGTCTTTTAATGCAGGCATCATCCCTGAGCTTCATTGTATCTTTAAAATTCATTGCTCCATTAGCTGATCTTGTTAAATCATGAGGTTTTGAAAACACGGTGCTAAGCTTTTACGTATATGATTACATCAATTTATCATTTGACATGTAGTTTTTGTATATGACGCGTTAGTGTTTATCACATTGCTGCTTCACATGTCATATGGTTTGGTCTCACCTTTAGTTATAATTGCATATTCTATCATGTAAATGAATCAAACTACAGTCAGCTTCTTAGTTTGGTAGAATGAAGATTCATTTTTTAAGTGCTCTCTTTAAAGATGTGTTTGTGCTTTTTCTGATGTTTTACCATGTGTTCGATACACCGTGCTAAGACAATGGTGGTTGGCTTTTCAGTTGAAATACAAGACATCAACAGCATTATTTTTCTAGTGCATGCTAGTCATATGGTTAACCTGGCATGGTTTGAAATAACATCTTTAGAATCATATTAGAAAGAATATGTCTTGTGAAACTTCCTTTAACATTAAGTTTTCTTCAGCTAAATACATGCCACGCTAGAAGTATATTTCCAACAAGATGCATTTTGTTGGAAAGAGATAGTTAGACACCGCAATTGAAAGAAAAAAAATGTTGCAGCCCCCACACACCAAAAGTTAATGTTAGGCACTGTTGTTGAAAACAGAGAAAAGAAAAATAATATAAAAATAAAAATGGTGGATTTAGTTGCTTATAAATAGAGTTGATCATAGACACAATAAACACAATAACAAATTCCAATCTCCACATATAGAAAAGTGAGAGAAGAAAATAGAGAGAGTTTCTCCTTGTAATGAGATATTGTAACTCCAAATTTTTTTTCTTCATAGTGGATTCTTCTACTCTTGCCCGTGGCTTTTACTGCAAATTTATTTAGGGGATTTTCCACGTAAAACTTTGTGCGTTCAATTTAGTATTTTCGCTGCTACCCTGCTCTATTGGGTCCCGATTTGTCCAACAAATAGTATTAGAGCCTAGCTTATGGTGCATGTATCTACTTATCGTACGCTCTATAGCTACCACCAAAGGTGGATCCTTCACATTAGAAAATAAGTTAGATTATCATTTACCCTTTGAAGGCACTGTGCACTATTCACAAGTACAAGTACTGTTCACGAGTACGGTTACTTTTCACGAGGGTAGTTACTGTTCATATAAGTAGTAGAAGTTATTGTTCATGATAGAAGAAATGGTGGTGAAGTTCGAGATTGAAAAAGTCAACGAGAGTAACTTTTTATTGTGGAAATTGAAGATAAATGCTATTTTGAGAAAAGATAATTGTCTAGCGACCATTGGTGCAAGGTCCAAAGACATCGCATATAATAAGAAGTCAAACGAGATGGACGAGAATATTATTGTAAATCTTCATCTGGTATTAGCAAATGGGGTTCTATCAAGCATAAAGGAGAAGAAAACAACAAAGAAGATCTGGAATAATCCAACAAAGTTATATGAGGCCAAATCAGTACGTAATAAAATCTTCTTAAAAATGAGACTTACACTCTGAGGATGGCGGAATCTACATCGATGACCAACCATATCAACACCCTAAACATACTATTCTCTCAACTCATAGCGTTGAGACATACAATCGGTGTGAATGAACGTGCAAAACTTCTACTTCAAAATCTATCCCACTCGTATGATCAACTCATCATCAATCTAACAAACAACATTCTTACGAACTATCTAGTCTTCGACGATATTGCAGCTGCCGTTCTGGAGGAAGAAAATGGCGCAAGAAGACAAGCAAACAAGTTCACAACAAGTGAATGCCTTATTGGTGATGAGAGGAAGATCAACAGAACGTGGCTCCAGTGGGAGTCATACCTATGGTAGATCAAAATTAAGAAGTAAGAAGAAAATCAAATGCTACAACTGTGGTAAAAAGGGACACGTGAAATTGAAGTGTTGGCAAAATAAGAAGAGTGACGATAAAAAGTCTTCAGAGCCATCAACATCTCAAGAATACGTTGTAAACACATCACGCGATATTAAAATTTTATACAGTGGAGCAACAACTGTTGATGAAGGCAGAAAGAAGTTTGCTGATGTCGGGCTTTTAGATTCAGCAGGCTCCTGACACATGACCTCCCGGAGAGAATGATTTCATAAAGATAAACCTATCTTAAGGGGATTTGTATTTATAGGTAATAATCATGCCTTGAAATTTTTTGGTATTGGGACTATCAAAATCAAAATGTTTGATGGTACAATATGCACCATGCAAGATTTACGACATGTAAAAAGCTTGAAGAAGATTCTATTGTCTTTAGGATAATTGGATGAACTCGGATGCAAGATACATATAGAAAATAGGATCACGAAAATTGTTAGAGGTGCGCTTGTTGTAATAAAGGGAGAAAAGATAGCTGCAAATTTATACATGCTTAAGGGAGAAATCTAGTAGGAAGTTGATGCATGTGTGATATCGGATGTGACACCGTAAACTAGGCCACATGTTCGAAAGATACTTGAAGATTTTCTCCAACCAAAAATTGCTTCCTAGGCTCAAATTGGCAGCTCTTCTCTTTTGCGAGCATTGTGTTATAAGTAAGTAGCATCGGTTGAAGTTTAACACATCGAATTCTAAAAGCAAGGCTAGTCTGGAACTGGTTCATTTTGATGTATGACAAACACCAATTACATCCATAGGAGGAGCAAAATACTTTGTATTCTTTATTGATGATTATTCCAGAAGATGGTGGATGTATCATATTAAGAGGAAGGCAGATGTGTTTTCAGTCTTTAAAGCTTACAAAGCGCAAGTTGAGTTTGAATCTAGAAAGAATATTAAGTGCTTGAGGACAGATAATGGAGGAGAATACACAGACGGTGAATTTCTTACATTTTACAAACAAGAAGGTATCAAGAGACAATTTAGTACTACATATACTCCTCAACAAAATGAAGTGATAGAAGCAGTAAAAATCGTCGGGGCAACTGTAGATCTGGATAAAGTTTTTTGAGCAGAAGCAGTAAACACCGCTTGCGATGTGATGAATCGATCTCCATCAACTACAATTGAGTTAAAGACACTGATAGAGATGTGGACTGACAAGCCAACTGATTATTCAAACCTCCATATATTTGAAAGTTCGATGCATGTAATGTACAATGTCTAAGAAATTACAAAGCTGGATTTAAAATTCAGAAAATACATATTCTTGGGGTATGCTGATGGAGTAAATGGGTATCGCTTGTGGGATCCCACAACCCATAAGGTCATAGTTAGCAAAGATGTTATCTTTATAAATAAAGAGAAGAGAAAGAAAACAGTTCGAGGAAGGACTCAGAAACTATAGCTGTGCAGGTAGAAAATGATCCAAATTTTTCTGAAACAACATCGGAGCATGATGTGCAAGAACCAGTCGAGTTCGAGGTTCCAGATGTTCGAAGGTCAACTCATGAGAAAAGACTACCGACTTAGCACTCGGAGTATATTACGGAAAGTAATGTCGCATACTGTCTTCTAACAAAGGATGGAGAGCTATCAACATTCCATGAGGCTATAAATAACACGGATGTATCTTTGTGGATGACACCAATGTAGGAAGAAATTGAAACTCTCCATAAGAATAAGACTTGGGTAATTGTGTCACTACCACAATGAAGAAAGACTATTGAAAATAAATAAGTTTGTGAGATCAAGCGAAATGGCGACAATCAAGTGGAGCGATATTGTGCTAGATTGGTGGTAAAAGAATATGCTCAGAAAGAAGATATTGACTTTAATAAAATATTTTCTCCTGTAGTTTGACTTACAATAGTCTGAGTAGTCATGGCTATGAGCGCTATATTTGACTTACATCTAGAGCAACTAGATGTGAAAACAGTCTTTCTTCATGGATATCTTGAAAAAGAAATTTATATGCTCCAACCAGAAGATTTTAAAGAAAAAAAAAGAAAACTTGGTTTGCAAGTTAAACAAATCTCTGCATGGCCTAAAACAGACGTCGAGGTGTTGGTATTAGAGATTTGCTTCATTCATCATGAGACTTGGATACAATAGACTAAATTCAGATTTTTATGAATATTTCAAGAGGTTTGGTGAAAGTAACTTTGTTATCTTATTGTTGTAGGTTGACGACATGTTAGTTGCAGGCCCCAACAAAGATGTTATCAAAGAATTGAAGGCACAATTGGCTAGGAAATTTAAAATGAAGGATTTAGGCTCTATAAACAAGATTCTAGGGATGCAAATTTATCGAGATAGAATTAATAGGAAGATTTAGCTCTCTTAGAAGAATTATTTAAATAAAATCTTGCAGCGCTTCAACATGCAAGATTGTAAGTTAATTTCTACCCACCTCCTATTAATTTTAAGTTATCCTCCAGTATAAGTACTAGCAATGAAGAAGAGAGGATGAAGATGTCTCGAGTATCGTATGCATCAATAGTGAGAAGTTTAATGTTCGCTATGATTTCTACGAAACCAGACATTGCACAAGCAGTAGCAGTAGTTAGTCGATTAATGGTGAATCCTGGTAAAGAGCATTGAAATGCTGTAAAGATGATCTTAAGATACATTAAGGGGACCTCAGATGTTGCATTATGTTACGAGGGATCAAAATTTATTGTCAGTGGATATGTTAATTCCGATTATGCAGTTGATCATGATAAACGTAAATCCACCATAGGCTATGTGTTTGTACTTACCGGTGGACCTGTAAGTTGAGTTTTAAAATTACAGTCAGTTGTGGCTATATCAACAACAGATGCAGAATATGTAGTAGCTACACAAGCCGGTAAAGAGGCAGTATGGTTAAAAATGATATTGGAGGAACTCATGCATAAACAAAAGAAGATTACTCTATTTTGTGACAGTCAGAGTGCCGTGCATTTGATAAGAAATCCAGTTTTTTATTCAAAAACAGCCTAGCGGATTTTCTGACAAAGGCAATTAATACTGACAAATTTGTTTGGTGTCGATCCTCTTGTGATCTGACAGAAACGTAAACAACATGAAAATGGCGAGATAGAAAGAATAATGTGAAGATATGATTGATTTTTCAATCAAATCTTTAAGTGTGAGATTGTTGGAAAGAGATAGTTAGACACCGCATTTGAAAGAAAAAAGGTGCGGCCCCAACACCGAAAGTTAATGTTCGGCACCATTGTTGAAAACAGAGAAAAAATAATATAAAAATAAAATAGTGGATTTAGCTGCCTATAAATAGAGTTGATCAGAGAAACAATAAACACAATAACAAAATCCAATCTCCACATATAGAAAGTGAGAAAACATAAGAGAGATTTTCTCTTTATAAAGAAAGACCGTAACTCTAAATTTTTTTCTTCATAGTGGATTCTTCTATTCTTGCCCATGGTTTTTAACCCAAATTTATCTAAGGTGTTTTCTACGTAAACATTTGTGTGTTCAATTTATTATTTCTGCACTAATTTTCGCTACGACCCTGTTCTATTGGGTCCCGGTTTGTCCAGCACGTTTAACTTCATCATTTGTCTCACATATGGCCTGTACTTATAGATCCCACTTTTGTGTCATGATCTGAAGGAAAGTTCATCTTCTGATATTTAGAGTGACTTTGCACATATGGAGTTGTGAGGAAACCTTGCCTCGTTAATTTTCAGTCATCTAGTATACTGGTTCTTCTATCCTTATCCCACCGATGGAAATTCAACCTCGTACTTTTGTTCTCAAAATTCTCATCACTCACAAGTAAAAACATGGTAATTTGTAATACGGCCTCTTGTAGTCTTTTTCACTACAAAAGCCAAGTAGATGTCTTTATCTAATGATTTAAGAGAGGTGGTTTTGTTTCATCTACATGTGCCTAAATTTGCACCTAACTACCACATCTCTATGACATTTTGACTATAGTTTATCACTATAAATTCAGTTGTTCATGGTAGGTAAAGAAAGTTTAGATCTATATCATGCACCTATTTTCTGCACTGGTGGTTAACGTAAACATTTCTTTCTTGGTTCTTCTTTCAATTGTCAGTAGTTAATATCATTTGTCCCCAAATTCTGTTAGAGAAACACCTTACATTGAGTTGGATAGGGCCAGAATTAACAGGTCTGTCAAATAGTCTGGTTAGACATGAATATTGAATTTGATTCATGAATTTTCTCAAATCATCAATTGTTTCAACTCTCACATATAAGACGCTTTACTTTGCAGTTCTACAACATACTGAGTCGATCATTATAGACTAGCAAAATCACATCAGTACAACGGTATGCTGGTCTAAGCGATTGCTTGATAATTTACTACAATACCACTCTGCAATAAACTAATTAAATCTAAACAAGGAGGCTATAATCTCTCCTAAAATCATTCCTAGAGGTGTCTGTTTCTGTTATTTTGAATCGATTATTCATCATGACATTGGCACTGAGGTAGTGAGGTGTATGTTCTTCTTGGAATTAATAGAAGGTGGGTGAAATGCAGAACAAAAACATGAATGCAATATAAAATTAATGCAATATAATATTGAGTTGTAAAGCAAGAAACAATAGCTTCACTTTATCAGTAAGAGTGTCAGATATCAAGAAACCACATAAAAAAATTGCTGCTGAAATAAGAATGTTTAGATAGATGAGCACGTCAACAGCATTGTGCGGTAGAAAATTGGAAATGAATGAATGTTATAAAAGCAAGGTAGCTTCAAGGATAAGGGATGGATTAATTAAATTGAGACAGTTTGGACAGTAACAAGGATAACTATTGGCCACTTCTATTTAGGAATAATCAGACCATAGATAAATGAGCTCCTTGGACGTGGTGAAGACAAAAGGAACCTGTTGAGGCAGTAAGAAAGGGTGCTATTCTTGCTACTTAATAGAGGACAAGGCTCTCAATGGTGCTGAATAAGTACAAGCACCGATGTATCACAACCTAAAATTTTGGTACAAAGGGTTTACATCCTTTGTCGTCTCTGTAATAAAAATCTTCTTTCTTGTTGATATCTCCGCTAATTTTTCATTTCATCTCTAACTTATACCCAATACTTTGTAGGAAATGGTAATGAGCTTATTTTGGCTATTCAGTTTATCCACTTGACATTATATTACTATCCCTCCTGATTCTCTTGTCCATTTGCTTTTACAGGTAGAGGCAACACGCAAAGAGGTGGTTCTTGACAAACCTCATTCAGTAAAAGATTCAGTGTTCGCGGCTGGAAAGAAAAGACTAGATTTGCCAGTGCAAAATAATGTTCTAACTAATTACTTCTGTATCCTTTTGATGATCGTTCACTCTCATTAGTGTCAATTTCTATTTATGACAGTCTCGTTGATATAAAGTTAGAAAATCTGTTTTAATTGTTATTTTGGTAAGACACTAATAACATAGATAATTTGTTTGATCTCATCGTAATCGGTAGTCCTGCACTAACCCAAGATAATCACCTAGGTCTCTACATTTTACTCTCTAATTACTGTAACTGTTCCATATATTTCATTTAAAATATGATGATTCAAATGGCCTGCATAATTCTGAATTATAACATCTGAATCTAGTTGCCTTAGTATCTGTCTCTGTATATCATGTGTAGAATCTGAAACCCTAAAAAGGTTTTAGGCCTGCAGGATGCAGTATATGAGATATGAGTCTCAACAGGTATGCCTTCCTGTTGGGCAAATACCAACTAGGTGGTGGTAACTTCCTCAGGATACTTGTTAGTTATAGATTTCAAGTTTGAGAATAAGTAGATTGGTTTGTGGCCACTTTCTCTAGTCGTTCTTATGGAACTCCATAACATTCAGATCCTTTTCCCGACTACCATGCATTTGTTGAACACATTAACACAAACAGTTTTATAAATAATTATATCTGAGAAAATAACATGAAGTGATGAAGATACATAAAAATGTCATTTCTTTAACATTTTAAAGGCTTGGCATCCCTAGAAGCAAAACGGAAATTCATAGCCCCGAAGGTTATGCCAAAATGTAAGGAGACGAAGAAATCATCTCCTCAGGACTCCATAAATCATGATTCAGATTCGCCTGGTTCAGCTGAAGAGGGCACTCATATGATAGACCATCAACAAAGTTCCTTGCATTCAAAAGATTTGGGTGATGACCTTTCGTCAAAGGATTCTTTGATCTTCCATCAAAAACAGTTCAGAACCCCAAAAGTCATGCCTAAGTGTATGGTGACAATTGAATCATCATGCCCCAGTTCTAACAGTCATGACTCCCTTTCACCTGGTTCAACCACAGTGGCTACTCCTACCATAAACAGTCAACTATCTTCTCCGCTTCTTTCAAGAGATCTAGGCAATGATCTTCTGGTAAAATATTTGGTTAGTTTAACTCTGTTAAATATGGATTTTTGTCACTATGCACGCTTCTGTGACAAAATGGTCACTAGGACTATTGTTAGGATCTGATTGATTTCTTTTCTGCTTTACATCAGATGAAAGGTCTGCCTGCCGAAGGAAGCAATAATTCCACAGGACTTCTGTCACAAGGTAAGTCTCCATCATTCATCTTTAAGATTGAATACTTATTCATTTCAAATTTTTCAAGAAAGACCTTTAATTCACCTGATTCTTGTTACCTCACAGAATCCAATAATGAATCCTTAAGTCCAAATTTAACTTCGCATAAGGAACAAGGGTGGAACATTACGTTGTATGAAACTGGACAAGTAAGCTCTAGACTGGCTGACGATAAAAGACCTATGGAAACATTGGACAGAAAAGTTATCAAAAGAAGTCCATATTTCCTGAACAATTCACTGGACAAGAATGATACTGATTATCAAAAAGAAGAACCCTTTCGAATCAAACAAACAGATAAGGGTAGTGGTCACCATACTGTAACTGTAGCCTCCTCGATTCAGAATGATTATCAAAAAAGTGCTGCGAAGAGAAGAAAGCTTCTCCATGGCCATAATGTTCCCAGTGTATGTGAACTGTTCTTGCTTCATTCGATGTCTGGTTTCATTTGCTCTTGCTAATCTGCATAAACATTCTAACTGTACAGGAATCTCAACCAGAGAGGAATTTGCATATTACTTCAGTTGAAAAAGGTATGGAATTGTTTTGTAATTGATTATCAAGTTATTTAATTTGTTGGTGATATCCTAAACATCTTCAGTTGTCTCTTTCTGTTACTTCATTTATGATGGGTTTAGCATACGTAATTATGATAGTTCTATCAGGTTCTTCAATAAATTTGCTTGTTATAGCAAACTGGAAAATTTCGTGTTAATTTAATGTTTGCTGCAATAAATTTGAAGTCAAATAATACTAAACACGTGAATGGTTAAGGATGTTTATTGGCATACAGCCTGTATTGGTTGGTAAGCTCCATCATGCAACATTGTATTCATGCACGTACCGTTCTATCTGTGTATCTGTCATACTTTCTGAGAATTTCCTTTGAGCATAAATGTAGATACCTTCTACGAAGGAAAAAGCGATAGACATGAGCCTAAAGCCTTGAGGCTTAAACTTCATGAATATTACACTGTTCTTATTTTCAAAAGTTATGGTATACAACTTCCAGAAATAAGAGGATGAAATAAAATTAAGTAGCTATGGTGTAGGACATTCCAAATTTTTCGACATCACTCAATTGTAATCTCAATGCAAAATCAATATCCATCTATCAACTTATTAAATCAGGGTGTTTCAATCTATATATAAGACAAACTTACATGCTAATCATGTAGACTCAGAATACATGGAAATCACATGCAACAATAAAGTTTTTATCCCAAAATTTTGGTGACGGTTGCATGAATCCTGATCATCCATTTATTTCTAATAGGTCAGCTCCTCCCTTAATTATTATCATATCCTTCTTGCTTGTTTTCAACCAAGTAGTTTTAGGTCTGTTTCTAGTCCTCTTTGCTCAATAAGTAAAATTTTATAAATTCCCCTAATGCATTTACTAGCAACCAATGTACCAGGCCAAACCATCCCCATCAGTTCTTTCTCATTTTATCATCGATAAGAGCAACCTCTAATCTGTTATGTATGCACTCATTTCCTATCCTACCCTTTAGTGTATATCCACAAGGCCATTGTAATATTCTCATTTTTGCTACACCCATTTTCTGCTCGTGTTTTTTTAATTGCCCAACATTCTGATTCATGAAGCATTATTGGTCTTAGACTTTGTCCTATATAATTTTCCCTTCACTCTCATAGGTATTCTACAGTCACATAAGATGCCAAAATAGCCCCCTCCATTTACCATCGTGATTTGATTTGATGAACCACATCATCCTCAGTCTCACTATCATAAGTCATGACACTAATTAAACTACGTATGAATAACATATAGGCTTGAAATAAATAAAATAAAAAATCTATATCTGATATGCCTAAGAAAAGATCCTAGAAATGAAATGAAACATAAAAATAAACCACTAAAATAAATCTTAAAAATACACCATGCTTTTTCCATGATCCTTGTGCGTCCTGAGTCCCCCATTATTATCTTGAGTAACATATGGAAGATGCAAGATTCCTATTATTAACATATTACAAGGCAATGCAGAATTCTAAGGGTGGGGCCCCATAGGCCTGCACATCTTAACACTTTGCTCCTTATAACACTTAGTTCTGCGAACTTTCTAGTTGGTGTGGGCTCTAATCCCATTTATAATGCTCCAATGAGAATTTCTACGAAGGTCAACTATCCTAGTACTACTCTCACCTTAGAAGACTGCTAGGTACACATTTATTTTCACAATTCCCCCATTGAAATAGGCTAAATATGAGTATTTCTTGATTTTGTTGAAATTTATTGTTGACACACTTGGGTGTGAGAAAGATGCTCTAAAGTTCTCCAGTGATCAATATACTCAAGGTCTTAGCAGAAAATGGCAAAAAAGTTGAAGGATCTAATACAGAGTTTGTATCTAGGACGTAATCAGCTATTGTTGATAGAGAAAATAATCTCAGATGGTAATCTCTTGGCACATGAGATGTTATGATCAAGTTATCACCACTTGTTTCCATGGTAATATGAAATTGAGAGTAGCCATTCCTATTGGCAATCTTATTGAGAATATAACTTAAGAAAACATCCACATGTCCAGGCAAGGATAATGGTACTACTACTTAATCTCATACATAATCTTATTGATTATCCTGAAATTATTTTCCTATGTTGGCCGATTCTTCCAGCAGAGTATGCCCTGCGCCCTGCATGGGCTGTAAATAAACCCTATCCAGAGTTGTATCGTCTTTCTGGCACTCATCTCATTTTAATTTGTTGAGGATGTATTATATATTCTCGCTTTGAAGGTAACTCCCGTCGGTAAAAATAATGATGTTTCCAAGTCTTCAAGTATAAAGAGACCCTAAAGGAAATTGGGTATGTGTAATTTTTTGCATTTTAAATTCTGCATTGAAAATAATAAGGAAATAAAAAAGGAAAAGGGTAATTTCACATTCACTTCGTTATGCATAAATCATTAGTTTATGAAAAGAATTGGGTTTTAGGTTTACTACAGTTCTCATTGATAGAATTGTTGGCTTATATAGCCTTACACACATGTTTACACAAAGGCCCTCTAAAACTCTTTAATTGCATTACATTCTCAACACTCATCCTCAAGATGGGCAAAATATATCTATTCAGCCCATCTTGTCACACCCTCTAGTTAAATCTACTGAGCTAAGTCCTTTAGTCAAACAGTCTGCAGCCTGCTCCTTAGTTGGAACATAACCTAACTCCAGTAGCCCACTGTTCAGCTTCTCCTTGATGAAGAATCTATCAATCTCGATGTGCTTAGTTCTGTCATGTTGAACTGGGTTATTGGTGATGCTGATAGCTGACTTGTTGTCGCACCACAAACTTATCTTGACCTCTTGGTTAAGGTTCAGCTCCACTAGCATGTTTTTCAGCCACATCAGCTCCGCAACCCCTAAGGTCATGGCTCTGTACTCAACTTCAGCTGTTGATCTTGCCACCACAGATTGCTTCTTGCTTTTCCAGGAGACTAAGTTGCTCCTTACAAATATGCAATACCCTGAGATAGACCTTCGATCATCTCCGCAGCTAGCCCAATCTGAGTCACAGTAGCCCTCAATGTTCACATGGCCACTCCTCCTGAATCTTAGTCCTTTGCCAGGGGCACCTTTTAGATACCTCGGTATCTGATATACAGCATCCATATGACCCTTCCTCGGGTCATGCATATAGCGGCTCACCATGCTTACCGCAAATGAGATATCTGGGCGTGTGTGACTTAGGTAGATCAGCCTACCCACCAATCTCTGATATCTCTCATGATCAACAGGTTCTCCTGCCTCAGCACTCAGCCTGAGACTCTGATCAATCGGTGTAGCAGTAGTCTTACACCCCAGCATTCCCGTCTCTGCAAGAAGATCCAGTGCATACTTCCTCTAGGAGAGAACAATCCCCTTAGGTCCATGAGCTATCTCTATCCCAAGGAAGTATCGCAACTGACCCAGATTCTTTACTTCGAATTTTTTGCTCAATCTTACCTTGAGCTGAGCAATCTCCTTCTCATCATCCCCTGTGATGATCATGTCATCCATATATACTGCCAGCATTGTGATGTGACCTCTACTTTTTTTGAAGAATACAGTATGATCGGCATTGATCTGTTTGTATCCCATACTAACCATGGCTCTCCTGAACCTGTTAAACCATGCTCGAGGGGATTGTTTTAGTCCATACAGAGACTTCTTCAGCCTGCAGACCTTACCCACTGTCTGTCCTGTGTCACATCCAGGTGGTATTTCCATATACACCTCTTCCATTAGATCTCCATGAAGGAACGCATTCTTCACATCCAGTTGGTGTAGTTCTCATCCACCATTTGTTGCCAGGGAAATCAGCGTTCGAACAGTGCTCATCTTTACCACTGGTGCAAAAGTCTCATCGTAGTTAATGTCGTATGTCTGGTTGTCCCCTTTTGCCACCAGTCGTGCCTTGTATCGTTCAACCTTCCCTTCCGGGTTCTGCTTCACGGTAAACACCCACTTGCATCCCACTGCCCTTTTTCCTACTGGCAGTGTCGCTAACTCCCACGTGTGGTTCTTCTCAAGAGCCCCCAACTCCTCATGCATAGCAACCTTCCATTTTGGGTCTTTAGCATCCTACCAGCTGTTAGGTATAATAACAGAATCCAATGATGCAATAAATGCTCCATGTGAAGGTGATATGTGAGAATAGGAAACAGAATGAGCTAGATCCCAACCATATCTCTTAGGAGGATTTTTCGCATTACTGCGAGTAGTCCTCCTTTCTGACATTGGAGTAGGGAGAGGGTTAGGGGTAGGAATGGTATTACCTAGAGTGAAGGGTGGTGTAGGTGTCGCTGGAGTTAGAGCAGAGCTGGACGAGGGACTAGGCACTGGCATTGTTACTGTAGGCACATCTGGCTCCTTCCCCCTCTTACTGTATGTAAGTAACTCCCCATGAGCTGTAGGCCTAACACCCCTTGTCTCCTCCTCCTTTCCTTCGTCTTCATCCTCCTTCTCTGCTGAGTACGTGATCGAAATTGGGATTGACCCCCTTGAGCTCTCACCATTCCCTCCCTCTTGCCTCGTACCTCTAGTATTGGGCAAATCGCAAAAAGGTAAAGTAACCCCCACTGTGTAGTACGGCTCGAGCTCCCGAAACCGCACATCCATGCTGACAAACAGCCTCTTTTCACCGGGCTCCAGCAGATATACTCTTTCTGGGTGCCATTGTAGCCTACGAATATACACTTCACAGCCCTAGGGTCCAGCTTCCCAACCGATGGTCTGTTGTCCTTCACAAAACACACACAGCCAAATACCTTCAATGGTAGGGCCCTCCCGTTATCTCCCTTCAGTGTCTCACGAGTAGACTTCCACTCCAACACACTCGAAGGCATCCGGTTGATTAAGTAAGCAGCAGTCAAGACTGCTTGTCCCCACAACACCTTTGGAACATTCATCGCCATCATTATACTCCTAACAACTTCTAGGAGATGTCTGTTTTTCCTCTCTGCTACCCCATTCTGAGCTGGGGTGTATGGGCATGTAGTTTGGTGTAGAATCCCCTAAGCTGACAGATACTCTCCAAGTGTTCTGTTGGTATACTCTGTCCCATTATCCGACCTCAACACTTTTACTGCTGCACAATACTGAGTCTGGATGTGCTTATGAAAATCTTTGAAACAGCCAACTACGTCACTTTTGTTTTTCATAAGATACACCCAAGTGACTCTAGAGAAGCAATCAATAAATATTATAAAAAACTTGCATCCATTTGTAGAATTTACTGGGCAGAGTCCCCATACATCAGAGTGTATTACTTCAAACTTACAAGAACTCCTACTATCCGAACTAACATAAGAGCTTCTAGTCAGCTTCCCAAACTCACAAGCATCACACTGCAACTTTTGTTTATTTACTTTTTCAAACAGAGTTGGATACATTTTACCCAAAATGCCAAATGACGGATGTCCCATTCGCTGATGGTAAAGCATCAACTCATCTTCTGCACAGACTTTAGCTCCTCCTGTTCCCGTCCTCTCTACCACAGAAGTCGGTGCTGAGTCCATCTCTTCGCGGTCCAAGTACCATAGTCCATTACGTCATGTCCCAGTCCAAAGTCTTCGCCCCGTCCCATTCTCCTGAAAAATCACATTGGGAATGTCAAAAGAAACAATATAATTTAGTTGGAGGATAATAGCACTAATGGATAACAAGCTAACAGGAAATGAAGGAGAATGCAATACATTAGATAAAGGTATAGAACTTGTACAACTAACAGTGCCCTTATCAACCACATCTTGTGCTGTACCATCAGCAATTTGGATACTTTCTGTTTCTGCTAAGTGAGTGTAAGATAAGAACTCACTGGTATTGCCTGTTACATGTCTGAATGCTCCAGAATCCATTATCCAGGCGGTGGATCTTCTCTCGTTTGGGTGTGCGCGAAGGGCGTAATTAGCATAGTCCCCTCCAGAGAGAGTAGTAGATGCCCCCTCAGACACATCACCTACTGCTCTCTGCTTCCTCCTCAGTGCTGTCAAGAGTGCACGATCCTCAGCAGTGAAGATCATCTCAGCTTCTTCTTCTCTTTCTGTTACTGTCAAGTTTGCTCAGTGGCCTCCTCTTCTACCTCGCCTGTCTCCACGGTCACAGCCACGGCCTCCAGCCTGACCACATCCACCCCAGTCCCTTTCTTTGGGTGGCTTAGGGCACATCTGTCTCAGATGCCCTACCTCTCCGCAGTTGAAACACTGCCTAGTCTTCCCTTTGAATCCAGTGTTATCCGAGTTGGATACCACCAGTGCAGACTTCTCCCCTGTAAGTCACCTGTCCCAGCCTGTAGCCTGATACGGCTCTCCTCCTGTATCATGGCTGAGACTGCCTCCTCCAGTGGTGGGATCTTTATCTGAGTTAGTAGCAACGCCGTCCTCTGCTCATATGCTGGAGCCAAGCCTCGGAGAAACAACATGGTCCTCTTCTACAAGGAGGCCTCACGCTCCTTGCACTCCGGGTCTTTACAGCTTGCTAGGGGCGAGAAGTGATTGTGATCGAGCCATAAGCGCTCCAGCTCTGTGGCGTACTCCTGTACAGTTCTCTCTCCTCGGACTATAGCGCTGATCTTCTTCTCGATCTGGAATACCCTCAGGTTATTCCCCACCCCATCGTAGGTCCTCCTCAGCTTCTCCCAGACATCATGCACCCTCCAAGGTCATCCACTGTGGCAGCAATTGGCTGGACTATAAAATTCAGAAGCCAGAGGTACACCAACATATGAGTGGATTTCCACTCATCTCTCCCTGCTGAGCCCTCAGCCGACTCAGTTTTCTCCCATGCCAGATATCCCTCTAGGCTCCTCCCGGCAAGGGTATATTTCACCTGGCGCGACCAACTCAGATATATCGCGGGTCCATCAAGTTTTACATCGATAGGTGGAAGCTCCACCTTCTTGGGTTGTGGCTTTGTCGAGCCGACAACCTCATCAGTTGCATCAGTGTTGTGATCTCCTCAGGATTCGACTTCTTGATGATCCCCTCCAACAGATTTCTGTCAGTCTCTGTCATTGATCTAACTTGTATTCTTGTACGCAGTAAAAATTTCGGCAACACTTCAACAACACCACAAGAGAGATAGATCAACAAGAATTCATGTTCCACCAAGAAAACAAGAACCAGAAGTAGGATATCTCAACCAAGTGAGATATCAGCTCTTCCTCTCATTAGTTCTAGGACTGACCTCTCGAGGGAACCTAAACAAGCTATTACAACTTCAAATATTATCAACAGACATAGGCAAAACATATGAGATTTCCATACAAACCCCTATCTCATCATCAAGTCTACCAAAGACTACCCACAACATTGACCATCCAAAATAAAACGAAATTAAACACACTGTTTAAAAAAAAACCACCCAAACCACCGAATCTCAGGCTCCTTCGACTTGTCGCACTCCAGTCACCCCCTCTTCACGTCGGGTTCACCATCTACCACCCCTACCGACCACCGCAGCCCAATCACCCCCTCTCCCGACCACCGAAGCTCTACTCCTCCTCTTCAGCTCCTTGATCGTCGATCTCAGGCTCGACCCCATCGCCATAATACACAGATAGCATTCTCCTCCCTCTCTCGCAGCGGCTAGGGTTTTGTTCTTTTCTCGCAGTAGCAATGGCTGAGGTTGAGACCGATGTTGCTACATGCCAGCCGAAGAGGAGAACGTTCAGGAAGTTCACCTTCAGAGGCGTTGATCTCGACCAGCTCCTCGATATGTCGACTGATGAGCTTGTCAAGCTCTTAACTGCTCGCGCTCGTAGAAGGTTTCAGAGGGGATTGAAGAGGGAGCAGATGGGGAAGGACGGCTAGGGTTTCGAAGGACAGAGGGTTGGCAGCGGCTCGGATACTACATTGGCAAGAAGAGGTAAGGGATCGCGGCTGCTCTGATACTAGGAGGAAGAAGAGGTAGGGATTGGCAGCGGCTCTGATACCATGAAAAGAATTGGATTTTAGGGTTTCTACAGTTCTCATTGATAGAATTGTTGGCTTATATAGCCTTACACACATGTTTACACAAAGGCCCTCTAAAACTCTTTAATTGCATTACATTCTCAACATTATATAGCCTTACACACATGTTTACACAAAGGCCCTCTAAAACTCTTTAATTGCATTACATTCTCAACAGTTTACAATCACAAGCATAACGATGATCACTAAATATCAATGGCGAGAATGAAAGAATCCATCAGGCTTAACTAACAATCAAAAGAAAATGTTCAATTACTTCAACTCTTAAAACAAAGAAAATACCCTCCAGTCTTCAATGTAATTACATTTAAATAATTCAAGGTATATTGAATATGTTATATTGAAAAGTGTATGCTATATTGTTATAGCATACAGTTGCAACGTGTTTTTGCAATTTCAAATTGCTATGTAGCATAGAGTTACAATGTATTTGTTGATACTCTATGAATGTGGATGAAAATACCGTTTTAGGATATCCTAGTACTCCTTAATGTAGTATCCTCCACTTATGGAAAAGCTTCCGGGTGATATTTGCATATAAAGATCTCTTTGCCCGAGACTAACATTTTAATTTCAAGGCTGGAAGACATGCCTTTAAATTAGTTGGATGGTTGAAGCTGTACGATAACACTCTCGGTGTACTACCTAAGTTATAGGACTTTGAATACTGCCTAAAATTTTGCTTGAAATGTAGAATTGTTTTGGAACACCAGTATGATTCAGTTGGTCCCTACTACAATAGCTTAATAAATGTGCAAGACCTAAACGCTTTAGGTAATTTCTAATCTCCATTAGAGAGCGGATCAACTTCAGAGGACTTCTCCCACAAATTCCCAGACTAGATTTCACTTATCAGAACTTGATTGTCAGACTATAGATCAATGAAAATAATCTTGAAAGAGTTATTTTCTACTGGAGGTAACCATGCCCACGCCTATTGCACTCACATTAGGAGTTGATAATAAATATTATAATCTTTGGCGGAATTTTTCTGTAAAGAAAACATGAAGATCAACAAATTAAGAACTTAAAAAAAAGTGTAATGTGTGTGTGTGGGTGTGGGGGGGGGGGGGGTGGGGGGGGGGGAGGGGGGAATTTTTAGATAACTGTGATCCTCTTGTTGGCATCTGAAGGATCCTTGGCCCTCCAACACTGTCCCATGATGATATTTAATTCTCACTTAAACAATCTTCGCCTCTGAATAAAAAAAAGCATTTTCAAGGAGTGATGTGTTGCTTGTATCGATTTCTTATACTGAAACAAAGTTTTTATGACTTGTTTATAACCCTGATATTTTTCATTTCAGTACCCATGGTAATTTGATGCAGAAAACCTCTAAAATAAAGTATACTTTCCTAGTTGAATAGTGGTTTTCAATTGGGACCTTTTGTTATACAAATAGGAACCTCAATTTTAATTTACTATGCCACATTATCATGCTTGTGACGTTCAAAATTGATTAAAACCATCTCTGATGTGCAGCTGATAGCATTCCCAACTTAAATAACAAGTGCAAAGATGGGAAGGTTGGAGGAAGTTTTGGCTGTGATGTTTCTCATATTAAGAAATATTCCGGTATAGCAGAAAAATCCATGGAAAAGTTTGCTTCACTTATATCGTCCTTCAGATACACCTCATCCGGTTCTCGTGCCAGTGGTCTTCGAGCACCTTTAAAAGATGTACAGAACACTTGCCCAGTTAGGTAAGCAACAAGGTAGTTTTCTTGTGTATCACTGTGCTTGTTAGCTTCCTTTGATGCCAATGTTTTATTGTTTACTGCAGATCAACTGTTGGGCCAATTGATTTTAGCAAATATGCATATAAACCCAAGAATAAGTCTGTTTGAACATTTTGTAGCAGTCCATTCTTTGGCTCAAGTTTTGTATTTGTAGCACGCCAATTCTCCAATTCTCCAATTCTGTATGTAGAGTAAGTATTCGCATTCATTTTTCGTCTCCATCGTGGTCTTGCATTGGTTTAACCAACAGTTATGATGCGGTGATTTGTATTAATTATGAAGCCAGAGATACATTTGTAATTGTAATTTTATAGCAAGTGCAGATCTCTGAGCAGTTATTTCTTATGCTATTTTAAACAAGAATCCATTTACTGAATGCCTTTTTCAGATTTCTACATTTTCTGAACTTCAACATGTGGTTCAATTATAGGGCTGTCGATTCATTATTATGTTCCAAACTTTACATCCTTTTCTTTCCATTTTCCATCTCTCCACTCCATCTTCTATGTTGTGCACTTGACCAATGTTTTATTGGTGTTTTGTTCCACTATCGTGCCCTTACTTATGAAGTTGTATGTAACTAATTCGGTTTTCTGTAGGTCCTCCAAAAATACGGATGTTTGAGAATAAATTTTAGTCTGTCTGCAAAAGCAATTGCGCAAGTTTCATTTGATTTACCTCTAAATGCATCTGCAATTGTCAGTTGCAAGAGCTTAACGTTTACCAAACAAATGCCGTTTACTATGCTTTTACAGGCAACGCGGCAGTCAACCGATCCTTGTTTTTTTTTTTTTTTTAAGTTTTAATACGAGGGGAAACCTTGGTTGGATAGAGGAGCTCATATCAAGAGGAGACTCGAGTTTGATCTCTGACACACTCACCAGATCGATGTATATGATAAACCAAACCGGATTGATGTGCATGATAAACCAAACCAATTTATCTCACGTTTGGACCAGGTCAGACTGATTCCGTATCCAATCTATTCCGCTCAAAATTTAAGAGAGAGAATCTAGATCAACACATTGTTCTATATATTAATTTGTTATGTGTTTTTGTCTTTAGAGCCAAAAGTTCATTGTGATTTATGTTTAAGCCCAATTACTTTTCTTTGTATCTCTAGATCCTTTCAACTTTGTGTCGTGCGTTTATCTTGAAACCTAAATTCTCAAATACACTTCATACTTATGTGGTCCCCCTAAAAAATTTCCAAAAAAATCCAATTTTACCGCTTCCTTTTTCTCATTTAATTCTATCTCACCTCCTTTGTTCTCTTATTTCCTTCTTCAACTCTCATACACCCATTAAATACTCCTAAATTCCCTTATTTAATTTTCTAGGTTTAAATACCAATTTTGGTGAGGATTGATCTCTTTTTTTATACTTTAAGGTATAAATTCTCTCAATTTCTCAACTCCTAATTTTGTAGAATAAGTTCACATAAGCATTAGCATTAATTTGTCATTGTCTTTATCATAATTTTTAACATGATTATTCATAACTCTTCATGATTGTTTATTCCAATTAATAAGAATTAATAATACTAAAAAAATCAAAAATTTTGATTTTGATTTCACATGTTAGAGAGCGAGAGTTTTGGAAGAGATGTGGGGGTATTTTGAGATTTTTAACTCCTAAAAGTATAAATGTAATATATTTTAACTATAAATTATAATATTTGAGTTAAAAGACGAAATGAGAAAGGGAAAATGCTAGAGGCACACCCTTAAATCACACTCCAACCACACTCCTCTCTCGCTACAATGCACTGGGTCCCACATGAGAATTAAAAAAAAAAAATTCATGTGAGAGGAGTGTGGTTGGGGGTGTGGTTTAGTGTGTAGCTGTAGCACCTCCCATGAGAAAGATGATTGGATTCAAAAGTACAAATGAAAATAAAAATAATTGGAAAATGATAGGGGCATGTCCCTAACCACGCACACTCTCTCTTTTTTTTTTGCTACAGTATACCAGACCCACATGAGGTTTTAAAATTCCTAGTGCCACTCAAAATACTTAGATTTAAACATAAATCAGTTTAAAAATTTAGATCTAGAGACCAAAAAACCCCCTTTTTTTAACCATCCCGCGAATCATGGACATTTCCATCTGCCCACCTGAAAGTTTTCTGGGGGAGCCAATCACCAAACACAGCTCACTATCAGCCTACACCTTTGTGACACGTGGATGACTCAAATGTTCCCTTACCAAAACCCTCAAAATCGGGAAGAAGATAAGGCGCGCTCGATTCACTCGCGGCTCCAACGTCACCGTCTCAGCGATCGCGATGCCGAATCCTTCTCGATTCAGCGTCGCAGGATGAAAGGAGGCTGAGAGCATCGAGCGGTGGTTAATGGCGTCCTCATCTTCAACCTTCCTCTTGCTCCACTTCCCCCGGTCTCCCTCCTCTCTTCTTCTTCCTTCATCTTTTAATGGCCTTCAGCTGCCCTTTTCCCCTCTTCGAGGCGTCCGAAGGGGCCTCGCTTTGTGTGGGAAAGCCCCGAGGTCGCTGGCGGAGGAGAAGAAGGGGGTTGTCGATGACGGCGCTCTGGTTCAGGACGACCCAGTCGAAGCGGAAGCTGCGCTGGCGCGAGTGATGTGAATCGCTCGGCGCAGCGGGCGGCGGTTTCTTCCGACCCGATTTCGCTCGGCATCAAGGAGCCTGTCTATGAGGTTCTGCTCTCTCATTTTCGGCTCTGATTTGTTCAACTTGTTGAATCCCTATCTTAAAGATTGTAACTTGCTGTGGTTAGATGTGAGGAGCTTAGAATCTGAAGCTATGCATGAAGAATTTAGCACCAGGACATGGTTTTTTTTTTTTTTTGAACTAGGATAAAAATTCATGAAATTTCTCTATTAAAAAGCTGAACGTTTTGAAGTTAGACGCGAGGGATCTATAATTGGGATATGGTTTTTTGATTATAGGACAAGAATCCCATTGATTATGTAGTTAAGACATAATTTTTATGATTAGAAAATGTTTTAATTTTGGGAGCTAGCCTGCATATGAGAATAATTTTTGGATTGTAGTCTGATGCTAACTATAATCCTTTAAATTTGATTTGGTACTTCAGGTGATAGAAGTGACTCCAGATGGGTTGTTGTCCACCAAAAAGATTAACCGGCGGCAATTGTTAAAATCGAGCGGTAATTTTCAAATAAATTCCTTAAAAAAGATTTTTTCTAAAGGCTCCTCACAATTATATTGCTCATCTCAAACATCAAATGTGATGCAATTGCGAATAACCTTGACCAGCTGAACCAACAAAATGAATGCAGTCCGACCTTTGTGGACATGCCATCATGGTTGAATTTCTAAACAGTCAAACATTAAAATGGATTCGGTACTTGTTCAACTTTGTCTATGTTCCATTTGAACAATGCTGAAATCCAGTCCTTGGCAACATATACTTTGTGTTGGCATGAAACTAAAGGGCCATATGGTGAGAAAATAGACACGTTGCATGGTCTAAATAGTTCTTGTATATGCAACTGAAGAATGAATTTCCAATTTCTCTTGGACCTTTAAAGATATGGTCGAAGAGGGAAGACAGCATGCAAGGAAAATTGGAATATATTCTTCTCTAATGCATCGATACTAGGCAAAAGCCCAGATAAACCCGTGCCTGAAATATATTTTTTGGTCTTGATGGACCGTCGGTTATTTCTTTCATCTCTAGAACATGATGTTCTGAGCGATTAAACTTTGTTCAAAATTTATCATAAAGACAGCTACGATGTGGTGCATGTCCTTAAAAACTGATTTCTTATTTTGATTTTTCGCTTTATCAATTAATATCATAGAGACATTGAATTTCCTATCACATGTGGTCCGGATAGAGGGGCCTATTGATGGTCTCCTATGAGGATATATAGGCCATCATGCATGCGCTACAATTTTTTGCCTTATTTATTATTTATTTTTAGTGAGGCTAGCCACTTATTACACTCAAACTTTTTTATTAGCATTTTCATCATCTGATATCCAAATAAAGTTTTCTCTCTGTCATGTGGTACTTAATGTATTCTAGAGAGATCCCGTATTCTCTTATGTGTTGAACATGCACTTATAGGATAATGGAGAGATAACTTCATTTGTGCACCAGATAATCTGAGTGCTTATAAAAAAAGTTTAATCCTTTAAGGGTAATAATTTGACTAATCCTTTAATGCACAGGTGTATTTGTCATTAATCCTTTATTTTAATACAAGGTCTCTGACATTTCATCATTGACACCAGGTCTTCGCCTTCGTGATATCAGAAGCGTCGATCCATCATTATGGTTGACAAATTCAGCACCCTCTTTGCTGGTAAATTGAATTGTTTCATATGGAGCTGGCTTTTCCCTATCCAACTTTAAGGAACAGTAACATCTTATTGTAGTCAATGATTTAGTTATCTACTTCAGAGTGCGTGCATTGTTTCATGATTGTAAGTAGATTATCATATGCATTAGGCTAATTTTTTTTCAAGTTACCCTGATTCCTGAATCACTGATAAAAAAAGATTGTGTATTGTTAATGTAGCAAATCTTATTCCATCATTATTGTTGAATTTTATTTTCTGAAGTTATACATTACGTGTAATTATTCTTGTAGGTGCGAGACCAAGCTATATTGCTAAATTTTGGTTCGTTGAGAGCAATTGTCATGCGTGAACGTGTTTTCATTTTTGACTATAATCGGTATGTGCACTTTATATCTGGATAATTATCAATTAAATATTATACCTGTTATTATCATTTCACCTATTTTCAATTGTTTATTGAGCCTATCTTCTCGGATCATTCAGGAGAGGAGCAAAGGCCTTTCTCAGATTACTGTTACCTCGCTTAAATCCGAAAAACATCAATGGTGGACCAACCATGCCTTTTGAGCTTGAGGTATGCATGATTTCAATATTTTTTCTGCGGCACTTTACATGAACCTTGGAGCATTTCTTTTCTTTTCTTTTCTTTTTCCTATTATTCTAACACTACTTTAACGTTAATTGAAGCATACACTGAGCAAGTGCTTGTTGACTATTCATCTTAATCGTTAGAATGTAACTAGTTAACTTTAACCTTTTCTATAAATCAAAATTCTGACTTCTGTAGCTGTTGAAGATCGAAATATTGTATTAGTAAAGAATTACTTGGAAAAGTGTGATTCTTGCCAAGTTTCAAATTATACTAGCTCTAGAAGCTTTATATCTTCCTGGTGACCTTTCTCTCCTAATGCTGTTTGCTTTCAATCTTTTCATTTTTTTCTTCCCTAGTTCCCTTCATATCCCATTTACTTCACTTTTTATTTCATTATTTAAGATCTGATTTCCAATTATGCAGCAGAAAGTCAACATTTCTCTATTGTATGTTATATTTTTATGAAATAAGATATAACAAATTTGAAGGGCTGAACCTTTAGCAATAGCATTTTATGCCAATTGTTGTTCCAATTAGTTACCACAAAGATGCAAAAGTTCATGACTATCTATCAGCTTAGCATGAACCTTTGCCAGACCAATAGAGCTGCTGAGTGCTTCCTTGTTTCCTTGCATGTGCTGGCGTAGTGCAAAGAGATCTATCTAAACAATTTCTGTGCTCTGAGCTCTCTTCTCTCCTATCTTTCTCCATTCTTAGAGTTTGACATCCAATATAAAATCCTTTGGAAACTGAGATGGACAGATCACATATCTTAGCTTATGATGTTTGTGTTTCTTCATGTATATGGGGTTCTTTGATGTTAATTTCTTGGTGCTTTCCCTTAAGAACGCTGCATGAAGCCATATCCTGTTGTCTTTTCTACTTCACTGTTACACATGTTCAAGAGAGTGTAAGTGGGTGGTACCGGTTCCGGTTGTCCTTTAGCAGATTTTATCCTTTTATTAAATACCCAATATAATATGGCTGCAGATGACAAACCACATAGGAAACTCCTCACGTACTTTAAATTCTTGCCCTTTCCATATGTCATGTAATAGATTCTATATGGATATTGTTAACGGTTCATGCATTTTTTTCTTTCAACAAGTATGTAATGTATTAGCATTTAGGTCCTATCCTCATAAACCAAATACTAATGTTTGCCTATGAACCTTGAATCCATGGAAGTTAATTGATGAGAGGACCCATATGGTTGGAATTCGTTAATGAATGACAGGCATGACAAATATCCGATCACGGAATTGATTATTTTTTACTGCGTTTTATTTCTTGATGATACTTCATCTTTGAATTAGATAAAAAAGGATGTTTAAAGACCAAATAATTGATCAACTTTCTTTTATTTATCGGTTAATGAAATTTTTAACAACTTGGCATTAAAATTCTTAATTTAACCACTGATAGTTATACCGAGTATCCTGGAATTTGAGCTAGAAAAATCTGTACAATCCACGACATTTGCTCACATTAGCCTTTTATGTTTATTCTTTTTCTTTTTCTACCTCTTTTGGCCCAAGGACAAGGAGCGATAAACACTTTAGAATTATAAAATGGTTGGTTACCGTGCAAAGTTGTGTAACTAACAATAGTTGGATGATGCTTTTCGAAGATTCAGGCTGCTTATAATTGGCTGTATAGAATTTGTCAGGATGACCATTTTAAGGCCTTTTTGTCCTTGGGCCTTGATGCATCATTATATGCCTTTGATTTCTCTTCATCAATCTGCAACATGCAGCATTTGCATTAGCCAATTCTGACTTCTGAGGACCAAACCATAAATATTCACCCTTGGATATGCATATGTGATAAATTGTTTTCCATTAGAAAGTGAAGCGTGTCATAAGTAATTTAAACGGCATTTTGCGAGTGCCACTAGAAGAACTGTACGATAATCCATATTGAAAGAACAAATGCTTATTCTCTCTAATCTCTATTTTTTTTCTTTTTGTTTAGTTGTTCCCTTCTGTAGTTAGTTGAAAACTAAATTCTCTGTAACATTAACTGCTCCATGAAAGAGAGTACAAAATCTTCTGAAAAAGAAATTAGTTATCTGCGCCAGTGATTTAGCACATGATTTAATCTAGATTATATACCACAACGTATCAGTAATTTTATTTATTATTTATTTATTTTTGTAGTTTCACCTGAAAACTTCTAGATGTTTGGTTTTGTCCACTTGAGTGGTTTCTCTAATCTGACACATCTTTTATCTACAAACATCCACAAAATGTTCTTTTACTCCTGATATTGATGTTCTTTCTGTGTTTTGTCATAGGTTGTAGAGGCAGCATTACTTTCTCGGATACAACGCTATGAGCAAAGGTTAATGGATTTAGAACCTCGTGTGAGTATGGAACATAGTGAGTATATTTTGTTCTTTATAGGAATGTTTCCAGTCATAGATGCATTTTATTGGGGACATCAATTATGATTTTTTTGTTAATTTATTTTCCATCATTGGAAGAGATTAAGGGGTTTGCAGTAAAGTGCAAAATTTTCCAATAAGTGAGGGCCTTTGCGTATGCAACCTTTTTGTATGCAGTCTTGTTACATGCTGCATTGCTCATCAAGTCATCTCTTGTCCGCATGAATAATTAAACATCCACAAGCAGTCTTCAAATCTTCATTCTTATGATTTTGGGATCCATTGCATGTTCTTATGGTCGTTGGCGTTTTCCTCCACACATTATCCTGGTTTTGAAGACTCAAAGAACTCAAAATATTGTCGAGGCCTTGACTTATACCCCAATAAACATAATAGTCTTTGTTTAAGATTTTGAGGTTTGCCTAATGTACAAGATCAACCAATAACACCTAGCCTTTGTCTTAAACTTTTGGTGTCAACTTCGCAAATCCTCTTCTCTAATCTATTTTGTTGAGGATTACCTCCTCAAAGAATGCTTAACTGTATAACTTGATGGGTCTAAATGCTACTGCTGGTATATAACACCCTAATGTGATGCTTGTTTCTGGTTTGCAGTATGTAGTGCTGATACGATGTCATACTAATGTAGTCGCTCAGCTATCTAGCGAAATAAATAGTCTTTAGGATGATATCTTGAGGTCAGTCGAGTGCAGTACCTTTTTTTGGTGCAAGTATGGACCGCCTATTGACCTTTACCGACTCAAAATAGGAGTAGTCACTGTAGTGATCAACCATCTTATTGAAGACCCACCATTCACTATTCGTCATAGATATTATGTGGTGAGTGACTAATGGTTGATCAATTTACAGGTTTCAGATAAAGCGAAGAAGTTTTTTATTTTAAATTCTACACCTCCAAGAGATCTTCTTTTCCCCCCTTCTCTAGAGCATTGTTTAAAGTTTCCATGCCTATTCTCAGACCATTTTTTTCCTATCTGAATTGACTAATATACTTGTATTTAATTAGTTGCAGTACCATTGTAAGCATAAGGGGATATAAATTGGTGAAAGCTACGTTTGTCTCTGACTCTCTTGAGACAAAGTGTACATGACATGCAGATGATTGTGTAACACATTTAGACGTGGCACAACAGGCACATGTATGTAAATCTTTTAGGTGTAAAATATTGAAACTAAACTTTTAATTTTGAGAGCATTACTATAATCAAGTTCTGTAATTAAAATGAGGTATGTTGTGTCAAGTGGGAGATTGTTGGGTTCGATTAATCCAACGAACCCATATGGCCCAACCTACTCGATTTTGGGTTTGATTTAAAGTTGTCATCGATTCAAGTTAGGATCAAGATGTTAACCACATGGTCTGGTTAGACAATTTCATGTTTATCAAGTTGGGTGGTTATCTTGAATATCTAAAGGATAGGATCGATCGGAGTGTAATCCCACGATTGTGATTAAACCATGATGGGTAGGGTTAATCACAAATATCTATATAAAGGATAGGAGTCCCTCCTCTCAACCGTACGCAGAAAAGAGACCTAATTCCCATTATTGGCTACGGGACATTGGCTACAGGAGGAGAGAGGAGAAGACTTCCATTGTTATCGACGGTGAACGGTAATTTAGATCTATATTTCTAGTTTAATTTTTCATGCCTAGATCGTTATATTATCCATCAGGTGGCACAATAGGCACATGTATGTAAATCTTTTAGGTGTAAAATATTGAAACTAAACTTTTAATTTTGAGAGCATTACTATAATCAAGTTCTGTAATTTTTTAAATAACTTATAAGTCAGAGAAGGCAACAGGCCATCTAAACAACTAGCTCCAAGTTGAATCTTCGTTCAGCAATTGATTTTGTGCCATCTCTGGTGACCAAAAAAGAAAGTAGTTATAGTATTTATTGAAGGCACATGAGATAAAGTAGTAGAACTCCAGGTTCGTTTGTAATTTATACAGGTCATAACTAGAATTTTCAATTGGGATATGGGGAATAACCGTGTTTATCAAAATTCACCCACCATAATAACCGTGTATAATTATATTTTAAATAAGCGTGTGCCTAGCCCGCCTAGGTCTAGTTGTGCTTAGGCCACCACCTAGATCTTGAGAGCGCCTAGGTGAGCATGGGCTGCTTACGCAGACTACACCGCTTAGGTCTTGGTCGTGATTTCCTCCGCCTCCACGTCCTCCGACCTCCAGCCTCCTCCACCGACTATGAACACCTCCATATTTTGCAGGGATAATGTTGAGCAATGTCATTCTTGTTTCCATTTTCCTAGCTTGATTCTAGGTGATATATTTGCACATACTGTTTGTCCTAGCCATAGTAGTCGGGAACATGAGACGCTATAGCGAACCGTGACCCGGGTTCTATCGCCCCAGATTTGCATAGAACACGACCCAATTCACCAACCCCAACGATCCAATTTAAAATTCAAACGAATTAAAAATTTGAGAAAAAGAACTCCTTTTTAAAAGAATAAACAACAAACAACGTGAGAAATTAAGAAAATAAAGTATGCATAACTTAAATGCAATATGATTCTGAAGGTTCTTTTACCACTATTGGTATCAACTAGCATATTTTTTAAATTTGACTTTTGCAAAGCCTGTGATACCTTTAAGAACCGAAACTAAAGCATCCATGTTCCCTGGCATACTATATAAGCGTACCCCCTCATACCCAATTCCTAATGAGTGGCGTACCATGCTTTCTTACCCACCCTAATATCCCATGAACAGGAATGAACTGGGTTCCATGCAACTATGGTCCTAGCTCTCAATAATTTGTATCTTGCTGTTTCGAATGAGGACAGATACTGTGACATTTAGCATAGATATCAAACTTATTTAGAGAATATGTCCTTTAACCATTGCATCATTCGGATGAGTTTCCAAGCAATTGTTTATAGGTATTGATCAGGTTTCTCAGACTTCAAATACATATTGTATATTCCATGGAAAATAGCTGCACCTGAGGCTATTCCCGGCACATCTTCTTCTCCTCTTCATCCCGGCTAAACTCTTGCATTCCATATTTGTGCTTGACACTTTATTTTCTCTAGTGTAAGCTTATTGACTGACAACTAATGTTGAATTTTGGGGTTTCAGGTTACTGCATTATTGGAAGTTCTGCCTAACCGCTTGACAGCTGATGTGTTGGAGCAGCTCCGTCTCAGCAAACAGACCCTTGTATGGTTCTATCATCTGAACAGTCTTATATACCTAAATAAAATTCTTGTATATTTATTTGATCTAGTTGCCTAAAAAAACCAAAGGTTGAATTGGGTTCGCGAGCAGGGGCACTCAAACAGATGCTTCTTGATCTTCTAGAGGATCCCCATGAAATTCGTCGCATATGTGTGATGGGAAGAAACTGTACATTAAGGAAAGGAACGGATGACATGGAATGCTCCCTTCCTATAGAAAAGGAAATTGCTGAAGGTATTATTGTAGTTGTATATAATTCAGTTTACTTATTTATCTTTGTCTGTGTGAAATCATTTTGTTTGTTTAGTTAAGATTTGTATGGATATAACTGTTGAATGATTTATGGTTATAGAATTGACATGAATTGATACTGACTCTATTGGTCTCTCTCCTAGTTCCTCTGTTTCTTTCTTCTCATCTTCTTCTGCGTCCTTTATTTTCTTTTTCTGTAGGAGAAGAGGAAGAGATTGAAATGCTTTTGGAGAACTATCTACAAAGGTAATTTGTTGTCATCATTTAAATCAACCATTTCAAATTACTCTTTTGAATTATTTTCTTATTTCTATTATTTTCTTGTCCATCTTCTGGTACTTATAAATTTAGCTGCCAATGCTTTTTAGTAACCAATATTTATACTAAGAATGAAATGATGGCATACTTGTAATCTAGTATAAAATACAACTTAGATTTCTCTGCACTTTATCGGAATGCTACTAGTTCTGGTGGATTCAGCAATATAGTCAAGCAGTACATGGTAAGAGAGATTCTCTAGGTAAATAAATATGTTTCCTACCAAAGCTGACTTATCTTCATCCTTCACAAGGACAATGCATGTATCGCATGGGTTTTATGATAACCAATCCTAAGTAATAATATGTGCACACTGTCTGCCATTAAAGAAAGAAACTGGGAGGATGTTGTATTAGCTACATGTCACTTAATAGTGCAGCCATCTGTTACATTTGATGACTTTTGGTGCTTCGAGAAAACCATAGGATTCAGAGTATGCATATGACGCCACTCTGGCCAAAACCAATGTAGTCTTTCAGATAAATTTAAATTTAAATATTTTCAGTGCCCAATTTTTCCTATCATATGTAGTCTCTTCTAGGAGGTCCTGGAAGGTAAAGGACAAAGAGCAATTAAGAATTTTCAGTTTAGGAGATGAAACCAACATGACAGTAATGACAATATTTTATCAGTATCTTTGTTTCTATAGTAAATACTCTTTGTGCAAGATAAAACAAGTAGTCTTTCGGGTAATTGATAAATTAAACTTTTTTCTTCAAATGTTTTCTTGCAGAGAAAAATAAAAATAAAAATCCATTTTGAATCTATTCTAGTATTTGTTGTAGTGGCTGATGCTATAGATGTACTAGCTATACCTGCAAGTCTAGGACCCTAGGGGTATAAATATTAGTAATTGGCTGTTAAATCCATAGTTGTCGAATGGCTGTGATTGTGCAGTTTTTGAGATCTCTATGAAAATTCATTTGAAACACAATAATCACTACCCATCGTGCTATAATTAGCTAGAAAGAAGATTTGTATATCTGCTTATTTAAAATAAAGGTTTAATAGTCTAAAAGCCTTTGAGTACTTCCATTTTTTTTTATCTTTGTTACCTTCAAAATCTCAGGGCTTCTTTCCATTTTAACTTTTTTAATACTTCAATCTAAGCAAAGTTATCTTTTTGAAAATAATTTATTTTCTAGATTCAATTTTGTTGGCTATATGACTTTCTTTCTGAATCATGTCTTAAGGCAACCATAAAACTGGACCTATTTATATTTTTACTTTCCTCCTATTAAACTTTCCTATGATTTCTTTTGTCATATTTAATAAGGTTTCAATGTAAGCAAAAAAAAAATTTTTTTTGATGTATGATCGAAGAGAGAGATTTATTGTGGGATTGGTACCAATTCAGATGAGACAAGGGCTGTTTAATTGAGACTTTGGTCTTCTGGGTTGCAGGGATGTAGAAGAGGGAGATTGGATCGGTTAAGATAGAGATAAGGCCTCTTGCGAGTAGAGGGGGAAAGCTGGAAAGGATTAAGATTAGGGCTTTAGGAATCACTCTTAGGCGTCACACCTTACTTCTTGAGCAGCTGGTCTGACATTTGGATCGATGACTTATTACTGGAGTTTTACACCCATCATTGCATCCCACAATCTAGAGAAATCAGAATATTTTTCAGAAATGCCTCTGTCCTCTTTATGAAGGAAAACTAGTTGTTTATAGACTCACAGGAACTTAACCATTTAGAAAACCTAGTAATAAGAAAGAATTTCAATTATAAGGGGGAAAAAAACTCATGACATTTTACCTAGACAGTTCAGTTCTTGTGTTTCTAGGAGACTTAGCTCTCATGAAAGCTTTCAGAATAGGTCACGTTGCAAAAGTATTGATGTTAACATTTTGATTATCACAATTCTATAATTTTAATATGCTAGATGAAGGCTTCATTGTTTTCAATGAAAGCCTATATTTTTTTGGCTTTGTGTAGATCAATTGCTTTAGTAGATTACTCATGACATGCATAACTAATGATTTTTGTACATAGTTACAACTTAAATATATGGTTTCAAGCGATAATTAGGATATTTTACTCTGGACCATAGTTTTTTTGCCATATTTATCGTACTATTATACTCATATTTATCAATGGCCGATACTAACAAAAGTGTAAACCTTCATTCCACCCATCAAGGAAAAAACTGGGAAAATATGTAGGATATTTCTCCATGACAGTTGTCATGCCCATCGCTATAGGTCACACCACACGTGTTTCCATGTCTGACCCTTAAGATTATGTAAAACATTTATTCACGTAAACAATTGGTACAGCATGGAGAATATTATGACCTTTTTCATGAAAAATGACTATTTATAAATTATGTACCTGTTACTGTTCTTTCCCTCTTGGATTACTGAATTGTTTTAATGTACACAGGTCCTATCATCTAGTCTGCATTTTGTGGAACTTCCACGTCTCTCTCTTAACATGCTTTTATCTACAAATTAGAGGTTTCAAGAAGGCTCTCATGTTGGACACTTCAGATGCTTGTAAATATAAAACTGGACTTGCACTGAGCGACAGACAGCTACCTATGTGTAGAATACTAAATCATTATTGACTTATACAAATGGGAACATGCTGAAAATAAACATGTCAAACAACAGAAAAACCCTCATTGCTTGTGTTATAGGGTTCACTGAAGATTAGTGGTTATGTGAGCTGCTCGAACTTAAACTATGCACTGGTCATGTGCATATACACCCATATCTTTACCTCTGCATATCCAAATTCTGTGATGAATACTTAATGACTAAATTCACATATTAATGAAAACTCTGTGGATGGATGAAGAATTGATATGCCATCTTTTAAATAAAACCTAATTGCATAGAACTTTTGTTGATGGTGTAACTAAGTAATTTGTTTCCTTGTCTTACAGATGTGAATCTTGTCATGGTCAAGCAGAAAGGCTCCTTGATTCAGCGAAAGAAATGGAAGACTCAATTGCTGTGAATTTAAGGTCTTGAGCTGGCTTGCTTACTTTTAGATGCTTACTTATTTACTTGTTCATTTTACAAATATTAATATATTATGTCCTTCTATTGCCTTACATATATATAATTGTTAGAAGTTGCAGCTGGCTAACTGTTCTTAGAATAATCAGAAACATGCCAGGATACTGAAGTTCTTAATGGCAGAATCCTGAGATGGATTTGCCTGCATTACTAATTCAACTCAAGCCTTTACAAATGGAGAAAGCAAAATAGCCGGCTAATTGTGACTGTTGAGGTAGATTTACCAATAAGGATGTTAGTGAATATGACATTCTTTGCCTGAATGGCTTTGTGAAATTACAACGTGATTAATCCCTAAATCTCAGTAAGATGGATCCAGGAAGAAGCACAGAGATTCGTAAAATTCCTGACTTCTCAGGGCTTAATTACTGGTTGTTTTGTTAAACTAATTAACAATCTTGTATATGCATGAAACAAGTTGGATCACCAACAGACAATAAGATGAAAGATAAGTTACTATGTTCACCACTCAAAACCATAAAAACAGCTCAATAGCATAAAGAGGTATAATTATATAAATAATTGGGTAGTTTTGCATGAAAGTACCATAAAGTATTTTTATTAGAGAAAAATAAACCACAACTTTTTCACTAAACTATCATGACTGACAGGCATTATTCTGTAAGTTGGCATGTGATATTGATGTGACATATTTTGAACATCTTTGTTCTTATGTTCTTTATATAACTACTGTCTCACCCTCTCCTGCTTCTTAGCTGTTAGGGATATTTTAGACTTTTTAACAACATTTTTAACGCTATTAGTATAAATTTATGTTAGTATGTGTTATCTTGTCTGCAAATTTGTAAGTTTGTGATATTTTTCTCTTATGAAAATAGTATAAGGTAGCTTTGTGCAAAATTTTTCAGGGTAGTTTTGTGAAATTTACCCAAAATTGTAACACAAACTCATGTGAGGCAGACCACTTACGTCTTGTGCCTGTTGCAAAGTTCAGAAATTAGGCTGTAATTATTTATAACACCAACAGAATGGTATTGATGCATTTATGGTCGACCTTCACATGATCTCATTTGTATGGTCATATTACTATCACTGTATTGAAATCATGAATATGAGACTTTGAGACAGTTTTGTAATGTTTATCCCTTGAGGTGTACAAATCTTATTTTTGTCCAACAAAATGAAGAAACTATTTGTCTTTTGACATTCAGTTTCTTTTGTTTTATACAGTGTGATTTCTTGTAGCTAAGAGGTGAAGCTTGTGGATGTCACTTAGTTTCATTATGTAATTGAATTAGATTGACAATCTAAGCACAGAGAGTAAGCATGAGTTGTATATTAGTCATGACACTACCTTTTACCATGAAACCCCCGTTAATGGTTTACTTATACTTTGTTTACTTGCTTTCAGCTCTCGCCGTCTTGAGGTAAGCAGAGTGGAGCTACTACTTCAAGTTGGGACATTTTGTGTGGCTGTCGGTGCTTTGGTAGCAGGTATTCTGATATCCTGAACCCTGAACTTTTATGCATCACATTAGTTTATAAGGCCAGGTAATTTTTAATACAAAAATATTTTAAAAATGTCTGGCTGGTATTTTTCTTTGTCTATTTACTCCCAATTTCCTACCTTGTCTAGAAATTTAAACATTCATCTTAACAATTGGATCTCATTTGTAATTGCATTGCTCATAACATAGTTCTGATTTAGTCGAGATGTTATAACTTTCAATGGAGTTCACATCCATGAACACGTGCAACAATCTCATGAACATATTCTTTGGTTAAGGTTTCCTTACTGCAATTGAAAGTCTCAGTTAGAAAACAAATTGATCGATAGTACGGTTCATATTGATTCTTTTCTTTCAATTTATCAGGAATTTTCGGGATGAACTTGAAATCTTACCTTGAAGAACAAGTGGTATACTTCCGGAACTTTCCCTTTTATCATAATTCAATTTAATGGTATTATGTTTCCTTTGTATCATTGGATCTCTCCTGGTTGCAGTTTGCATTTTG